TGTACATAGATATTCTTTAATATGTTAAACATATATATTGAATATGCATACAACATATACAGTCATTTCACATCGATATCACAATGTATGCATCCACAATAGCCACATCCCAAAGATATGCAATGCTGAGTTTACTGCAATGTGATTTTTATATTTACATATAAAAAACCATAATGCATGTATGTTTATTTCACTTCATCTTTCAGGGTTGTAATTCTATGGATTTCCATATTTTCCGAGCTCAATGGGGCGACCCCTGTAATTTGCGTAAATCTGAAGGTTGTTTTTTAAGACGGGGGGAAAAGGGGGCTGTCTACATTATCATCAAAGCAGATGACCTGCTTCATTCCGCATGTCTTCCAGGGATGTAATTGTAGACCTACCTAGGTTACTCTGTATATAACACAATGAAATTGTGTAGTCCTATAATGTGATGAAGCCACTGACAATATGCAAGATTATGAAATCTATTTGAATGCGTGTGCGGCTGTGCACTTTTTCTGCGCTTACATTTGCTTGTCATGACTACGTGCTCTTTATGTACATTATAAATACAGCTGCAGGACCCACGTTTATTATTATTCTGTGAAAGTCATCTGTCCTTATGTCTTCATTAATTCAGTGCTACAGCCTAGCACCTCAAATTGTATACCTGAAAGTGTCATAATTTTGGTGATATTACAATATTATAAAACTATATTCTATAATTAATTAAAACCACTAAAAAAGGGACTAACCTGAAGAAAAGGGAAAGTGAAAGTGCTGAACTCTTATTAGCGATGTATGATTTTTTTTTCAGGGTGGAATGTTAAAGTTTATTAGGCTACTCAATTCAACTAGACTTAATATTTTTACTGTTCTATTTTTTTTTACTATAATACTATATTTTTACAGTTCGAATTGTTGACTGAGTGGTTTACATATTGCGTTGGAATAAGGCGTCAACTAAAATACAGGGAAAGTTATATTCTGTGGACACAAGAGAACTAACCGATTTAGTGGCGTCATCTAGCGGCGGTGGGTGGATCTGTCTCGACAGTGAGGTACAAAGTGTAAACTTATTAAATATTACTTGGCTCACTATTAAACTGCTAAACATTTAAACTGATAAAACAAAAAAAAATTAAACTTAAATTGTGTGGTCAAAAAACAAATATTTATATAAGGAATACTATTTATTATTATTTTGAGAATGATCATCTATATCATTTAAAACACACTCACACACATATATGTATGTATGTACAGTTGAAGTCGGAATTATTAGCCCCACTGAATTATTAGCCCCACTGAATTATTAGACCACTTGTTTATTTTTTCCTAAATTTCTGTTTAATTGAGAGCAGATTTTTTTCAACACATTTCTAAACATAATAGTTTTAATAACTCATTTCTAATAACTGACTTATTTTATCTTTTCCATGATGACAGTAAAGAAAATTAGACTAGATATTTTTCAAGACACTTCTATACAGCTTAAAGTGACATTTAAAGGCTTAACTAAGTTAATTAGGTTAACTAGGCAGGTTAGGGTAATTAGGCAGGTTATTGTATAATGATGCTTTGTTCTGTAGACAGTCAAGAAAAAATATAGCTTAAAGGGGCTAATAATTTTGTCCCTGAAATGGTGTTTAAAAAAATTAAACCTGATTTTATTCTAACTGAAATAAAACAAATAAGACTTTCCCCAGAAGAAAAAATATTATCAGACATACTGTATATTTTAGGGGGCTTATGATTCTGACTTCAACTGTATGTATCACACACACACACACACACACACACACACACACACACACACACACACACACACACACACACGCGCACACACACACACACACACACACACACACATATATATATATATATATATATATATATATATATATATATATATGTGTGTGTGTGTGTATATGTATATATATATGTATATGTGTGTGTGTAATTCTCACTATTAACTTGTTGCTTAGCATGCATGTTACTGCTTATCAGTACTTATAGAGCACATGCTCTGTGTGATCTTATTCTACATCTCTAATCCTTCTCAATACCTAAATATTACCTAATTACTACCCAATACTAACAACTATTAATGACCAAATTAGGAGTTTATTGAAGTAAAAGTCAAAATGGTTTGCTAAGAGTTAGAACTGAACCTTACAATAAAGTGTGACCAAAAATTATTTTTAAGTCTAACAAAGTATATCGCAGTATATATTGCAGAAAAACCAAATATTGCAATATCAGATTTTTCCAAGATCATGCAGCCCTTAATACATACATACATACATACATATATATATATATATATATATATATATATATATATATATATATATATATATATATATATATATATATGTAAGCTAGTTACTTATTTTCTTTGTGAAATTATGAAAATGTGACTAAGAAATGTATTTGAATACTTTGCTGTTATTATGTAAATAAATACATTTATTATAATTTTAATAGATCTATTCTTGCGTTAATTAATTAAATTTTAGATGTTGAAATCAATAGTTTGTTCAAATCATTTTTCACATTTCAAATGGCACGCTCCATCATTTATCAGTTATCTCATCCAAAAACCTGTGACAGCGGAAATTACAAGCATAAAAACAACTTGAACCTGAAACCGATGCAATACAATACTTTGATTTAACATTGAAACCAGCTTTTTCTTGAGTCTTAAAATAGGCTTGATTTTCTTTACTCAGAACTTGATGAATTTTGATCTGCGGTGAGACACGATCTGCAAATGTGTTTGTCAGATTAACTTGTAAATGCTTTTACCACAATGCCATCTTATAACTGTGACACAACTCCCAGAAACCATTTGGTTTAAAACTACAAAGCATCTTAAGCACACTGGTTTGACCACATACCATTGAAACCCCAGACACTTGTTTTGATGTAGAGATAAAAGACTTGAAACCCAAAACTGATTGCTGGATGCTTTTCATATTACGGCAGAAAACAGCCTTAACTCTGTTACATGAGCTGTAGTCTGTCATAATGACCAAGTTTGGAACCAGATTCAATTTTTTCTGCTTGTTTGTAAAACACACATGAACTGCAAATGACGATGAAATTCTTAATACAGATAGAAAATAATGAAAGCTTGTTATTGGATGGTGAATGTCAATATTTATTTTTTTCTCAATAAACACAAAGGGAACTGATTACAGCTGGAGGACGAGAGATGAAGGGTTTTGACTTTTGTTCTGGGCTATTTTTGTTTTCTTCCAGTATTTACTTTTAATCACATCCTCAGAGATATGGCTTTCCAAGTGTTTATTTTCAATGTCGAGATGAAGCTGTAGTGCAGTTTGTCTTTCCACACTCCATTGCAGATCATTGCTGCTTAAATGTTTGTTCTTGCTAATGTAAGAATGTCAGAAAGGCATTGTTGTTACATTGTTGTCTGTGTGTTCTGTTCATTTTGATATAATAATGATCACAACAAGATAACAAGAACATTTAGTACTAGTCATGAGTCACGTTTACCATTTAAAGGAGTTTTTCTGTTAGAAAATCATCATAAACTCATCTTTCACTTTTAAAACTTTTAAAACTTGTGTTTTACAACAGTTTGACGGCACAATCATGTATATAAAAAAGAAATTCAAACATAGACAGTCTAAAAAAAATTTTTTACGAGGAATTACTTTCTTCCGCCTTTCCTTCACATCTGCAACTGATGTCAGAAGTGTAGAAACCATTGCTACTTCACAAACGTCACTTTAGAGCTAGTGTTTGAATGATTCGCTTGCGCAATGTCTAAAGTGATGACAAAACAGGTGATTTTTCGCACATTTTAAGATTATAAGGCTGAACAGCATTAAATGCCATCAGTCTACAGAGATTTCCCAATATTTCTCTGTTGCAATCGGGAGATCACAGTAATTAACCCAGAAAGAGCCAAAGCAAAGCAAACACTAGCAGATTTCCATGGTATAAATACAGCACTACAAAATACAAATGAGAGAGATCGACTTAGAATTATCACTTATCAGTTTTATAATTATTTGATCAGCTGTATTTAGAATTTGCATTGAGTTTTTCTCCTCTAAGGGCTCATTATAGCGTCTCTGTTGCCATCTTGTGGCTGTGTGTCAACCATCTTTGCTCTGCTCAGTATGATAGGCTGATGGATGCCAACATGCTGTATCTCCAAAATTATACATATTTAAAAATAGGCACTATGCTTATAAATAAACTGCATAGTTGCAATCTTAAAAACTACAATCTTGACTAAAAAAGCCTAAAAAGTTGTCCAACAGCAGAAATATTTGTCAAACTAGTGAGTTTATTCGTGTGGGTGGAGTAATACACTAGGGTGAGGAGGCCGTATGAGTGATATATATATAAACATTTGCCACTTAATCACGTTTTATTTTTTGAAGGTAAATTTTTTTTTGTCTGTTTTGGTCATGTTTTAAATAGTGAAGTTCAGAAATACACGGATTAAGGTAATTAAGCTATTTTTCTTCAGCTATAGTCAAATGATCAATATATACACATTATATCTATATAATCCAATAATTTTTCAGTAAACATGGATTGGGATTATTTTACATTCAACAGATTAAAATTGTTGCTGTTGTTTTGGGTAACTGTGTATAATATTATTATTTTTATAATAATAATAATAATAATTATTATTATTATTTTTATCATTTATTTATTTTTTATTATACCTCACCAATGAAAGTTCTGCTTTGATTTAACCAAGCTGTAAGCTGTTTGATTGGTCAATAACCTGCTTTTATTTCACAAGTGAAGTGTTTTGCCATACGATTCAGCATGTCCGTGCTCAACAGTAAAATATGTGACCTATATAATAATGTTGATCTATAAATCTCAATCACAAACACAAACTGTCAATTTCTTCATTGTTCTTGTGCAAAATTCATCATTCGATTCCTCTTCTTTCTCCCTTTTCTTTCTTTCTCTCTCTCTCTCTCTCTCTCTCTCTTTTTCTGTCTGTCTGTGTATAGTTATGTGCCAATGCGATGATTTTCCTGTGCACCAACATCATTGGCATCTGCACGCATTACCCAGCAGAGGTGTCTCAGAGACAGGCCTTCAAGGAGACCCGAGGATACATCCAGGCCAGAATCCACCTTCAGAGAGAGAACCAGCAGCAGGTACACAAACACAACCTGTTTACCTCATGAATGTGCATGAAGCCTGCTGATAGCAGCTTGAGCTCATAGCACAGCAAAACCTTGTAGAAGAGTTGCAGATTTAACATCATCCTGTTTAAAGCACTGCTCTTGCTTCAGCCGGACAAATAAAAACGGACGTCTTTGGACATTGCATCATGTCTAATGCTACTTTTAAACTCTCAATAGTATTAAGTTAGTAAGTAAATGGAAGTCCAACTGCAAAGATAAAAAACAAGCATTTGAAAGTTATGATTCTAATCAAAGTAAATTGATTAATGTCATGAAAATACCTGTGGTGATTATGAAAGATTGTAATATATATTGTCAAATGTGGGTTTTATACTTGTACAGTTGTTTTAATTATTAGTCAAAATTATTATCCTTTTACAAGATTATTCCTTTCACAAGATGGATTTTTAAATATAATTTATACATTACACACACACACACACACACACATATATATATATATATATATATATATATATATATATATATATATATATATATATATATATATTTGTGTGTGTGTGTGTAATGTATAAATTATATTAAATAAATTATATATATATATATATATATATATATATATATATATATATATATATATATATATATATATATATATATATATATATATATATATATATATGAGCGCTGAGTCTGTATTATTATTTATCATTTCACAAGTGTATATTTTAGGCCTCATAATTATTGAGGCTAATAATTCAGGCGGCCGAATAATACTTAATAATAAAAATAGTCAATAATAAAATAATATAAATACATCTTTATCCCCAACAAACATCTGTGCATCTATGTAATTGTATAATCTTTGAGCTTGCATAGGTTAGTATATGTGTGTGTGAGTTAAAAAGATATTTTAATGTGTCCTCACAGACTGTATATAGAATAGTTGATACATTTGTATAATTTTTATAACCTGTATTTTATTACAGAGTATATTAATGCAATAAGAAGCAAGATACTGGGGTTTATGGTTAATTTATAACCGCAAATTAGCAAGGGTTTTATAAATATCACAATTTTTTTGTCTCTGGTGCTGATAACGGAATGGTTGCCAAGCAACAGTCACAGGTGTGTGATTATAGAGTAATTTACAACAGCTTCAAACACAGCTTGACCAATCAGAATCAAGGACCTGAACTATGTTTTATAAATCATTTATAGATATGATTAAACACATGAATGCATGTGTAATACAAGTTTTAGTCTTAATATCTTGCTTTTCTGAATTTTTATTTTATTTTTATTTATTTAGATACACACTCACATACATCTTTCCCTGATTTGTTAATGTTCATAAAAAAAAGTTATTAATTCACTACTCATACATGGATGTAGTCTCCCTCATGTTGACTGGTGTCTCTCAAACCTGATCCAGGAGCGCCTGCTGCTCTCTGTGTTGCCAAGGCATGTTGCCATGGAAATGAAGGCCGACATCAACGCCAAGAAAGAGGATATGATGTTCCACAAGATCTACATCCAGAAACACGACAATGTCAGGTACACCAGAGCTGTTCATTTAATTCAAATTTTTTAGTGGTTGATGAACACATTACTTCAGATTCATGGGTGCATTAAAAAAGAAGCCACCTCTTTTAATTCAGACACATACTGTATACTATTTACTCATAATATGAAATGTAGCTTGGTTTTTCAAAGTGAAAGACACATACATATTGATTCTACAAATTAAATACATTCGACATAAATTGATAAAGCTCTAAAGAATAGTTTGCAAACATCCAGTCCAACAGTCCAAAATATCCAAAACCCACTACAACTGTGTTACATATTTTGTGCATATTTTCTAGCATCAGCAAGCACTTCAGCACTCTCATTTTACTTTGACCGCTTTCAGCCATATTCTGCTTCATACTAACATGATAATAAGTCTCATACTTTAGCTCATCCCTTTGAAAAGGGTACCCAAAAAGTGGTACAGTACCGTTTGCTTTTTGGTATCTTTTGACAATAGAAACGGCCATAAAAGCGTACTGACCCGACCCGTACTGTACCATACCACTCATTAGAAACGGGCCAATACATACAGTCTTGTAAAGATGTTCTGAATTGTCTCTCAAAATTTATCTGTTTACAAGGGATGATCACTGTGTGTTTATATTGATGGAAATTGACAATTTTCTGGCATTGCGTAATATCATCGTGCCTGCAACCATGCAGCAAAGTTCTTTGATTATTACTCCAGAATCATATAGAATGGTATAGTCGCTAGCCATATGGGCCTAGAAAAAGCAACTTTTTATTTACCATCGGTTTTAGTACAAGATGTAACTACAGAAAAGTCAATTATCGAAATTCTTGCTTTAGCGAGATGCTAATGGTCTAATCCAATTCAATGATTTATGCTAAGCTAAGCTAAGCTAAGCTAAAAGTGCTATCGCCAGACCCGGAGATCGGCTGAATGGATTCCCAAATTTTTCTAGCATTGTAAAATGAGCCAATTTTTAAAATGAGTGGAATGTGTTCTCATGGTTAGAGAGTTAGACTTGTGGTCCAAAGGTCACAGAGTCCCAGCACTGAAACGTATTTGAGTAAACAACGCATGTCTGTGACCACTGTCGCCTTACAGCTAGAAGATCACTGGTTCGAGCCTTGGTTGGGTCAGTTGGCATTTCTGTGTGGAGTTTGCATGTTCTCCCCGAGTTCGCGTGGGTTTCCTGCGGGTGCTCCGGTTTCCCCCCCAAGTCCAAAGACATGCTCTATAGGCGAATTGAATAAATAAAAAATGCTGGTAGTGTATGTGTCTAAATGAATGTGTGTGGGTGTTTCCCAGTACATGGTTACAGCTGGAAGGGCATCCGCTGCGTAAAACATATGCTGGATAAGTTGGTGATTCATTCCACTGTGGCGACCCGGGATGAATAAAGGGACTAAGTCGAAGGAAAATTAATGAATGAATGTGTGTCTGTGTGAGTGGGTCACTGGATAAATTTGTTTGCTAAATAAGTAGCAATGTAAAATGCTCACCTCAGATCCCACACTTAGAAAACCCCTTAGAAAAAAAAGATCAATTTCTGTCTGTTCAGAATCAATAAAGAATCGACCACTTAAAAAAAAAAAAAAAAAAGACTCTATTAATTGAAGACTTTACTGTTTTGCCCAGCTCTTTATACACACAGATGGCCTGAGCAGCCCATAGTGTTTGTTAGTGTTTTCCTCACACCTCCCGAATGTGAGCTGACACTGTCATAACACTCAGCAGACACGGGATAAAACACAGGCACAGTAGACACTGATAGCGCTTAAGGTTATCTTTCCCAAGGCTGAGCTTTATTGAATGCTTAAACACAGATTAGCACATGGCGAGTCCTTGAGACGTGACTTTTTCTCTCTTCTTTTATTTTTTTGTCTCTGAGGGTCAAGTTGGGATATGGCAAATTGTTATGATGTACCCGAAGTTACACAATCAATTAGCAGAAAGCTGCATGAAATGACAGCAGGCCGCTTTAGTAATGCAGTTACGCGAGGAATTCGGTGCATATGAACATGCTGTCCCGTATAACCAGAGCCAACTTCAAGCATCTGCGCGAGGAGGAAAACTTGGATGTGTGAAAATGTTGAATGTCATGAACTGTGGTGGAGGGATTCTGCTTTCCAAGGGTTGTGAATTTCACCATGCATTTATTAAAGGGGACCTTTTATGCAAAAAACACTTTCATAAGGTGTTTTAAACTCAGTTGTGCAATGGCAGCCTGAGAATATAACCAGCTTCTAATGATGAAAATGTATTCATTTAATATTTTAAAATCACAATTCATTAAAACAGTCTGCAGTAACACTTTGATTGACCTTTTCCCTTTTGTACGTTTCAGCAGAGGGCAAAGCCCCGCCCATTAGTGACGATCTCTCCCTCATTAGCATAGTGCGTTAGTCCTGTTTTTGGATCTGTCACTATGCTGGCACACAGGCATTTGTAGCTCTGCCCTTTTTTGAAAAATTTAAAGCCACAGTGCAACACAATGACGCAATTAGGATCAAAGCCTAAAAGGGGCAGTTTCGAAGACTTATAAAACATTATTTGTGGGGTATATTGAGCTGAAACTTTACATACACAGTCTAGGGACATCAGAGTCTTATTTTACAACTTGTAAAAGGGGCATAATAGGTTCTCTTTGAGGCAACAGTGCCATACATTTAATATTTTTTTATATTTATACTGTCAAATATATGCTTTTTATGCAGTTGTGTCTAAAAAACACCAGTACTATTGCAGGGACAACAATAATTTTTAAAAATACTTTTAGATAAATAGTTTATATTTATGATATATACTGATTGTATACTGTTCATTTAATTTGTCTAAATTCAATTTCAATTCAATTTGTTTATTGCCATGTCCACAGTAAGGAAACAAGTTTCCCTGTACAATGAAGTTCCTACTTTGCCGTCCACACTGAAGTCATAAACATAATATACACATCATACACATATACTGTATACACATATATACAAAGAAATGACAGAAGTATAACTATGAAATCTGTGTGTGTGTATATATATATATGAATGTAAACAATATATATTACTGATTGTGGAGTAATGTAAACAGATGTAAACAATGTATATTAGTTGTTTAAAATGTATATTATTTACACTATACTTAAAAATAGACTGATTGTTATGAAGTGTATATAAAGCACAGTATTTATGATACAAAAATATTATGAAATCTATATTATTAATGTGAGTTTTGTCTGAATAAACTGTATATTTATACAAAATGCTTAAGTGTATTTGTAGGAATAGCCAACAATACGTTGTGTGAGTTAAAATGATTAATATTCTACTGATTTTTGCCATAAAAGTAAAATCAAGTAACAATCATGTCCCATGAAGACATTTCATTTATTGGTGAACAATAAATTTACCACCATAAATATATCAAAATGTAATCTTTGACTTAGTTTGGACAACTTTTTGAAAAATTCTTATTGTAAAACTTTACATATAATATTACATTTTCAGATTGCAAATAGATTTATCTACTTGGATAGCTGACGGAATTGTGTCCTATTCTAGCAACCATATGCTAATGGATAGCTTTATTAATCACTTTAGTGGTGTATAATTTTATTTTTATTATTGACCCTTAAGATTTTTTGTTGTGGTTCGGGGCCGTAATGTTTTTGATATTTATACAGTTTACAGTTATAATATTCGACAGCACGGTGACTCAGTGGTTAGCACTGTGGCTTCACAGTAAGAAGGTCGCTGGTTTGTGTCCCGACAGGGTTAGTTGGCATTTCTGTGTGGAGTTTGCATGTTCTCCCTGTGTTTGTGTGGGTCTTCCCCAGGTGCTCCGGTTTCCCCCACAGTCCAAAGACATGCGCTATAGTTGAATTGAATAAAATAAATTGGCCAAAGTGTATGTGTGCATGTGAGAGTGTATGGGTGTTTCCCAGTACTGGGTTGCAGCTGGAAGGACATCTGCTGCATAAAACATATGCTGGATAAGTTGGCAGTTCATTCCTCTGTGTTGACCCCTGATAAATAAAGGGACAAACCAAAGCAAAATAAATGAATTAATTATAATATTTGTGCATTTATTTATAAATAAAATCAATTCTATCAAGTTGTTACCATTCAGCAGATACTGTATATCTAACTAAAATTATGAATATTTAGACCATAACATTTAATGCAAATGCGCAGTTTGATCTATATAAAGAAGATAATGTTTATATTATCAGATTTTTACACTTTGTGTGCACTTTGTCTCTAAGTAAAATTGATGCTATTTATAGTATTTCTACTATTTGTGTAAGTTTGTCTAACAGTGCCATCTGTTGTCTCATGGTAAAGTGTGTGTCCATTCTGTCGTGTGTTAAATTGTAGTTGATGAGTGTCTGTCTCTGTCCTCCTCTGTGTCCTGCTTTCTCTAATTGAGGGATAGGCTGAAGTATGGAGAGTGGCCGTCCTCTGTACGGAAAGTCAGCTGAATCAATGCTTTTGCCCAGTTAGTTCATCAGACCAACTTCAGTGACCCAGACAAGGTGCTCTATGATTATTGATTTCATTTTTTCTGTCTGTCCTATCTTTAGTATCCTGTTTGCGGACATTGAGGGCTTCACAAGTTTGGCGTCTCAGTGCACCGCTCAGGAGCTGGTGATGACCCTTAATGAGCTTTTCGCTCGCTTCGATAAATTGGCTTGGGTAGGTGGAGAACATCAATTCAGTTTTTTATTGTATTCTTTTTTTTGGGAGCAACTTACATTTAAGTTGTGCTTAGGAAATTTGTTGCTTCATATTATCAATAGAAATTTAAATAACCCTATCATTTGATAATCCTAAATATACCTACAAGAAAGGGAGAACTTTTTTTTTATGTATTTTTATTTTTATATTTATATATAGTTTTTTTTAATATTTGTTCTTATAGTTTTTTTATTTTAATTATTTTTTTGATTATTAGTGTTTTGCAAAAATGACTTATTTTTATTTATAAATTTTTTAATACTATTTATAATATTTGTTTTTTAAATATTTGTTTAAATATTTAGTTTTTTTTACAATACTGCAAAAATCATTTTATATGTTATCAAAATATTAATAATAATAACAATAATATAATTAATTTGTTTAATTTATTGTATTTTTATTTATTTATTTATTTATTTATTTTTAAATTCCTAATGGTTCCTATGGGGTTTTTGTGATAACATGTGAAGCAAATAATTCTTTAAATCCTTTAATTAATATCAAAAGCTTCAAAAACTTTACTTTCCTATAATCCACAAGTGGAAATTTATCTTTGGCTTCACCACACAACTACATCAGCGTTCACATTACACATATTCCAGAAAAAACAGGCAACAAAAATACATTCAATGTCATCACATAAATCACACTAAAACTCAATTTAAAAACCTATACATGCTTAAACAAAATAATAAGAAACTAAAATAAAATAATCTTTTTGTAGAGAATATGTCTTATTAAATTACAGTTTTTTTCTCTCAAAAGTCAGATTATGATTTTTTTTACTTCAAATATAAACTTAAAGTTAAGCTTATTCCAAATACTATAAAGTGCTTATTCATACCTGTTTAAAAATTTGTTGTTAAAAATATTACATTAATAAGTCATAATACCTTATACAATGTTTTGATCAATATTAAGTAAATAAATGTCTTGTTTCTAGATTCTTTTCAATTTTAATAAATGATAAATGAGTCAGAAAGACTAAAACAGAATTTTTTACCTGTTAAATACTAGGCCAGTACTGATATACTGATAATTATTTCTGTATTCTGGGCATTAAAGTCAGTGGTAACATTTTCATGTATGTAAAAAGGCATGAAATATTATTTGTTTTATTTGTTATACTATTTAAACAATTTATTATATTCAGTTTATACTATCTAATTTCTAAAAAAAAATAAATAAAAAAAAGTAAAAAAAAAAGATTTATTTAATCTTTATTTAATTTATTTAATAATTTATTTTGCAAAATACTAATAATTTAACAAACCTGACAAAACTGCAAAAATAATTTTTTTTATAAAAAAAGAAATTTGATTGTATAAATATAATCAATAGTTTAATAATAAATAACAAATAAATAAATAAACAAGACAAATTCATTTTGCAAAACAATAATAATTTTTCTTGTTTATTTATTTATATGTTATTTATTATTAAACTATTTAATATATTTATACATTCAAATACATTTCTATTATTTTTGCAGTTTGGTCAGGTTTTCTAAATTATTAGTGTTTTGCAAAATGAACTTTTATTGTTTATTTATTTGTTTAGTTTTATTTTACTTTATAATATATTATAATATTGGTTATATTTCTACTGTCAAATCTCTACTCTTTTTGAATTATTTTTCATGTTTGATCATTTATTAGTGTTTTGCAAAATGAAATTTTCTTGTTTATTTATTTAATGTGTTTTATTATACTTTATAATGTAGTGTAATATTTATCATATTTGTTATATTTATACTATCAAATTTCTACTCGGGGTTTCTGTGGGGTCTTAAAAAGTCTTAATGTCTTAAATCTCAAAATCCAAATATTTGGCCTTAAAAAGTCTTAAATTTACTGAAATATTCTGTTGTTGGTTTTTAAATCTTTTTAAACAGGTCTTCGTTTTCTTTTGTTCATGTATTGCTACACAATCTGGCCAAAACCCATAAAATCACCAAAAAATCATCTCAATAAAACTTTAAACCTTTTATTCAAAAAGGTAATTTTTAACTCTATTTGTCATAGTGGTTTTAATTTATTTTCTTACAATAACATTTGTTTAAAAGTGCTCCATGTACTGTATTTACTGCTGAGGACACTGACCTGGACAGATAGTTGTGCATAGGTTTAGTTTATTATAGTTTTTAAAACTTTTAAAACATTTTTTCATTTTGTTAATTATAAAGAAACTTTATGTTGGAAAAAAAGTATATAGATACAACTAGATCTTTCTTGTTTTTACACAATATTTAAAATATTTTGCTAAGAAATAAAATCTAAAATATTTTAGTTTTATTATTAATGTATTATTAATTATATTAATTTATAATAATTCTTTTTGATCAAAGCCTTTTCCATCTGGGCCATTTGAAAAATTCCTTAGCCTTTAGCCCTTTATCAGTCAACATTTTTTTTTTTATAATGGTCTTAAAAAATGTCTTAAATTTATCTCCTACTGCAACCCTGTTAATGTTTTTGCAGAATTTCTCAGGTTTGATAATTTATTAATGTTTTGCAAAATTAACTTTTCTTGAGCTTTAGATAACCTTGAAGGTAATCTAAATGTAAAAACTGAGGAAAACAAGCACAAATCATTTCATATGTCATCAATATAATAATAATAATAATAGAAATAATAATAACAATAGTCCAATATCCTTCAAAAATCCTTTATAAAAAACACTTTATCAACTGTAGATAACCAGCCCCTGCAGCCACCCACATGGACACGCACATCATAGCATCCTATTAGTGCAGATTTCCTCAGTAATACTTGTATTAATGAGAGTTTTATGTCTGAATTCCTAGGAAAACCACTGTCTGCGGATCAAGATCCTGGGGGACTGTTATTACTGTGTGTCTGGGCTTCCGGAGCCGAGGGCCGATCACGCGCACTGCTGTGTGGAGATGGGAGTGGACATGATCGAGGCCATCTCGTACGCTTTTCTTCATCACTTTATATATTCCGTCTCACCAAAATTTCACGGGGCATTTTTCTGTTTTATAAGGCCTGAAATGATGGATTTTGTGGCAGCTTTTCTCAAAATTTGTTTTGTTGCTTCATAGTGGAAATATTTGTTTTGTTGCTTCATAGTGGGAATATTATAACTTTTCTGACCTCATATTTAGAAATATTGGGCTTTGTGGTTTATGTAAAGTGAACGCGGAGAGAAACTTAAGTGTTGACTGATTAACTCTAGAAAGCTTTCTGTATTATATTTCGTATATGAATAAAATATGATCAAATAAATACTAAAAAGTATGTAAGTATTTTCTATTATATTTTTCTGCTGGAGAAAGTCTAATTTTTCTTTTGTTTGGTTGGAATAAAAAATAAAAATAAGGTCAATATTATTAGCCCTTTTAAGATATATATTTTTTTTACCATTGACTAAAGAACAAACCACTGTTGTCCAATGATTAGCCAAATCAATCAAATGACTAGCCAAATTCAAATATTTTACAAACTGGTGGTTACAAACTAACATAAATGGGACAGTAGCAATAGCAAAAAACAAGCCATGAAGTCCAAATAAAATATTAAATAAAAAAACGATAAATACAGATATTACACTTAACCTAACTTGACTATTTAACCCAGTTAACCTAGTTAAGCCTTAAATTGCACTTTAGGCTGAAACCTAGTATCATGCAACTTCTTAAATATCATATACTAGGATAATTAAAAGACCTAATAAACTAAATAATTTCATTCATTTTCATTTTGCTTAGGCCCAATCCCAATTCTATTTTTGTACCCCTACCCCTTCTCCTTGGCCCTTTAAACTGAGTGTTAAGGGGAAGGGCAGCCACTAGACATTACTGACAGGGTATTGAGTTTCAGAATGTTGTGGGACTGCTGTACAGGAGATATTATTAGGGAGTGTAGCTCGCAAAATTTAGCAGTTTTTATTTTAGCATTTTTTAAAAGCATGACGGTAAAACATGAACGCGGTTATGAATATATTAAAACATATGCTTGTTTGTTGTAAAAATACAAAGAATACTAAGTTGTGCATCTCCTGACTCCTGGGTGCAGCTGTAGCTAGTGTATTCTGGGAAATTTTCGAGTGTGGTCCTGAAAAATCTTTGTTCGAAGATGTATTCACCCCTTCCCCCTAACCCTACGCCTTCAAGCTAAAGAGAATTGGGACACCCCTACCCCTTCATGGGAACATGCAAAACGAGGGGTAAGGGAAAGGGCTATGGGGTAGAATTGGGATTGGGCCTTAGTCTCTATTTCAGAGGCTACCACAGCGAAATGAACCACCAACTATTCCTATATATGTTTTACGCAGCAGATGCCCTTCCGGCCGCAACCCAGTATTGGGAAACACCCATACACTCTTACATTCAAACTCATGCACTAAAGCCAATTTAGTTCATCCAATTCACCTATGGCGCATGTGTTTGAACTGGGAGGGAAACTGGAGCTTCCGGAGGAAACCCATGCCAACACGAAGGAACATGCATACTCCACATAGAAATGCCAACTGACCCAGCTGGGACTCCAACAAGCGATCTTCTTGCTATGAGGCGACAGTGCTAACCTCTAAATGAATAAGTTTAAATTATCATGTTTAAAAACCTGTTAAAAAATCTTCTCTCTATTAAACAGCACTTGGGATATATTTAAAAATGATTTAAGATAACACAGGAGAGCTAACAGTTTAGTCTGCATTGTGTTTCGCCAACTCCCATTAAAATATACAGCTTTCATCATAAAACCAAGCATTCATGTGCCCTACTGTCATATAAAAAGACATCTTTTTGGACTATTTAGGGCAATAAGTGATATTAACATGTAACATGTCTTGCGTTACTAAGTATTAAGCTATACTTAGTATAGAGTACTTTATCAGAATTAGTTTTATTGCCAATTGTGCTTTACACACGCAAGGAATTAGTTTTTTAACAGAAGCTTTTTTCCAGTGTACATAAATTGACAAGTGACAACACAAAATAAATATGACTAAACAGGACAAACATTAGACAGAGATGCAATTAGACAAAAGAGCTGTGGATGATTAATTGTATGTACAGATTTCTTATAAATATACAAGTTATAAAGATGAATGTCTATTTATATACATTTGTGGTTAAATAACAAGAACAACAAATTGCTATTTTTTAAATCTTATATACAACGGAGCTCTTTTTCTTTCATATTTATACTATGTATCAAATTGGCCATTAAAAGCTTGATGTACAGTATGAGTAGGCCCACAAGGAATCTGCATGCACAGATTTAGCCCATAATTGAGTCTATGTATATACTTGTGTAAATGTTTATAAATTTATATTTATTCAGTTAATAAATTAATTTCACTAATATTATTGTAATATAATAATAATAATATTAAAATGTTGATATGATTTATTTAGAATACAATTTGTAAAGTAATATGTTCTGTCTTTTAGTAGATATACTGTATGAGTGACTTGCTTTGTTCACCAAATAAGTGGATCTAATTGGATTTGCGTTGTAAACATTAAATAAAAAATTTAAATGTATTATTTTTATTAAAAACTTAATAGCTTTTAGTTATGATACTCCTGAAATTATTCTGCATAAATCCGCAGATTTTTTACAAAATTCTCAGCAGAATTAGCAAAACATGTCCACAGATTCTGTTTGGCCCTATGTATGAGTCTTTTGTTTTGTTTGATGGCTGTTTTAAAACATAAAATTGAGAAGTGCTCTCAGAAACAAAAGGATTGGAAGCTACTCTTCATTGTTAAAATTAAAGCTACTCTTCACTGTAAACTTAAAATTGAGAAGTTCTGTCAGAAACAAAAGTATTTTAAGCTATTCTTCATTGTCAAAGACTTTCAACTTACTGAGAGTCACTGATAAATGAAGCAAGAATGTAGTGATCATTGCAACACACAGAGCCTACTTCAAGGTGACTTTGGAAGTGCGATAACTTCACATGATACATCTAAAGCTGCCCCAAGATTTTGGAAGATGAAAAAAATTGCAAGCTCCTCTGAATTTTGCTGGATTTTCTTGATTTTGTGTTAAATTCTGGGATAACTGAATCACAAAATCATAGGGGGGGACAGTTGGTAAATTTTTTTCTTTATCAACAGTTTAAAAAAGGGATTGTTCATCATTTAACATCATTCAATGTATAGTTTACTCTTGTCACAAATCGATTTCTTTCTGTTAAACACAAAAGAAGATACTGCGAAAAATGTTGGAAATCTGTAACCATTGACTTCCATAGTATTTTTTTCCTACTATGGAAGTCAACGGTTACCGGTTTCTAACATTCTTCAAAATAACTTATTTTACATTCAACATTTTTGGGTGAACTGCCCCTAAATGTAAACATGTGTGCAGGTTGGTTCGAGAGGTGACCGGGGTGAACGTGAACATGCGTGTGGGGATTCACAGTGGTCGTGTGCACTGCGGCGTCCTCGGCCTACGCAAATGGCAGTTTGATGTCTGGTCCAACGACGTCACTCTAGCAAACCAGATGGAGGCGGGAGGCAAAGCAGGGTAAAAGTGAACACCACCCTTCAAAAATGTCATTATGCGATTCATATTAATCAGTTTCATGTTTTATTGTTGGCTGTAAAGGATGAGGTTTGTTTTAAAGGGATAGTTCACTCAAAAATTATTGTTCTGTAATAATTTACTCACTTTCCATAGTTTGATGTTGTTGTTGAACACATAAGAAGATATTTTGGTAGCCAAACTGACCTCCATGATATTTTTTCTACTATAGAAGTCAGTATCTACCAGTTCCCAACATACTTCAAATTATCTTCTTTTGTGCTCAACAGAAACCCAAAGTTTTGTAACCACCTAAGAGTTTGTAAATGATCATTTCTTTTTTTTGTAACAATCCCTTTAAAGAGTGACTTAACATTGTGAATGTTTACAGGCGGATCCACATCACCAAAGCCACACTGCAGTATTTAAATGGTGACTATGAAGTGGAAGCAGGTTTTGGAGGGGACAGAAACGCATACTTGAATAACAACAACATCGAGACGTTTTTTGTACTGGGCTGCAGTCAGAAAAGGGTCAGTAATGTACAACCATATGCACATTATTACCACACTAAGTCAAGCCACCTTTATCCTGTTTTCCAGAATATCACTTTTTTTATATATATAATCAGAAATGTACTGTTATTTATATTTCAAAATGACCTATTAATCTAAAACAACATGCTTAAATTAAGCACACATTTGTGTTGGTTTTGAATGAGAGACACGAGTGTTTGAGTGGAAGACATAAGATTCACATGTATGCATTTCACATACACACTGCTGGGGTGTTGGGGGCAACGCATTACAAGTAACGCAAGTTACGTAATAATATTACTTTTTTAAGTAACAAGTAACGCATTAATTTCCAAATTTAGGTAATATTATTTGAGTTACCTTTTTTAAAAGTGTAACACGAGTTACTTTTTAGTTTAATCAATTAGCTTATAAAAAATAAATAGCTGAATTAAAATAAACGTACAGTAGTGATGTTGAATCCTGCGCTCAGTTTAATGCAGGAACAGACAGAAAGCAAGATGGATTTGGCTTACATTTCTGCGATGGAAGTTTTCTCATTATTCTGAACGGATCAAAGAAAGGAAAAAGATGATTTTTTCAATGGACAGTGATTTTACTTCACTAATAAGACAAAAACTACAAAAGTAGCAAACACATTGCTTTATACCTTTATTATTCTGTATATACAGCATGTATTGCTCGAGGGTCAGGAAGTTCTCCGAAGATAAAATAATCCTACATTATTATTTTTGATGTGTTTTGTAAGGTAAATTAGGCTGTAGATTATACAGTGCAGTGTTAATGCAGAGCTCCTTTATAAAAAAAGAGGAAGAAAAATCCTCTTTAAAAATTATAGTTACAGGTCTTGCCTCAGCCAGGTCAGAAAAAGTAACTCAAACATATTGTAATGCATTACTTTCAATAAAAAGTAACTAAGTAACACAATAATGACATTGTTGGGGAGTAACTCAATATTGTAATGCTTTTCATTCTTCAGCACTGCACTTTATATTGCTTTTTCTGTTCTAAATATTGGTATATAGAATTGTTGTGAGTGAGTGAAAGGTATAGTTCACCCAAAAATCATTCACTCACCCTGATTTGGTTCTACACTTTTATAAATTCCTTTCTTGTGTTGAACGCAATTTAAGTATGCTAGAAAAAAGCAGATGTTTGCATCCATAGTATTAACAAAAAATACCATGGAAGTCAATGGCTGCTTTTATCCAACATTCTTCAGTGTATTTTCCTTTGTGTTTAACAAAAGATGGAACTCAAACAGACAAGTGGAAAATAAGTAAATAATGACAGAATCTAATGTTTTGTGTGAACTATCAGGTTAAGTGGAATTATAATGTTTGTTTAGCGATTTATTTTAAGAATACCCTAAGGCACTGGTCTCAAACTCAATTCCTGGAGCTCTGCATAGTTTAACTCCAACCACCTCTAACTCACAGCTGCTTAATAGTCTGTAGTAGTCTTATACACCTTGATTAGTTGGATCAGCTGTTTGATTAGGGCTGGAGCAAAACTGTGCAGAGCTTCGGCCCTCCAGGAATCCAGTTTGAGACATATGCTCTAAGGCTATTTTATATTATATTATATTATATTATTTTATTATTTCTGAATGATAATGTAAAATGTTAATTATACACCAATGCAACATGCAAATTTTTATTATAGCTCCGTCCCAAATGGCACACTATACACTATGCCCTTATACACTTACACACTTAACAGTTTTTTTCACAATCCAAAATAAAGTAATCCAACATGTGCGCTCGATAGCTCCGCCCCTTCTGATACATGAGCAAAGCAGCGACTGTTAAGTGTGTCAAGTGTCCAACATTCCTCATTTCTTTTTATTGGTTGAACAAGTGCATCATCTGAGCATTTAAAGTGCACTTATTCTTTTAGATTTTCAGTGGGAGTGCACTATTTACACTATTTATACTACAAAATGGCATAGAATGGTGCATAAGTATGCGATTTGGGATGCACCTTATGTTCCGGTTTTGGTCTGGTGTGAATATAGATATTTTCTGGAAAATAAGTATTGAAGCTACTGCTCAATTTGATTGTTACGTGACCATTAACCAAGATGAAACCAATCAAAATGTTTTTTACTTGTGTTGTGAACATACAACTTCAGCACACTACACTGTAAAAAAAAAATCTGTTAATTAACAGTTTCCGTATTTTGTAATTCACAAGTGCTTTCCATTTACTTTTCAGTTGTGAATTGCATTATGGGACCTTGATCTCTGCTCTGTCCACTTTTGATGTCAAAAATCAAACTCTAAAGTTGAAAAAAAAATCTATTCAGAAGTTTAACAAAGTGACTTTTATTGACATTTTAGTTGTTTGAAATTATATAATGTAAAAAAAATAGAGAATTAAGTCTGTTAAAAATGTAGTTTATTATTTTTTTACCATAATATACAACACCTACCCTTACAATATATCACTGTAATCTAGTGCTGCACAATATATAATTTTAGTATCGATATTGCAATGTGTGCATTCACAATAGTTACATCGCTGGACCTGCAATGTTTAATTGATATTATAGTTGACCAGGAGCCACAGTTCAGAACATGAGATTTGTGGAGATTTTTACCACAAATAATGGAACAAAAGTTTATCATTTACATGTGTTTTTAACTCCTAATAAAGTAGAGGTTGACTGTGACTGTATGAGCATGTTAAGACATTCAGGCACAAGGAATTGTACCATTTGTAAATTGAATAAAATACATTTTATTGAATTATATATAATATGAAGATTATACTCTGATATTTTACATTTGATTAATCAATTAATTTCTGTACCTGAATTCTTACCAAATAGCTATTTAAGCCATGTGGTGAAATTGTATTCATAATGCAAAATTTACAGCATAGCAGAAAAACTAAATATCAGATTTCCCCAGTATTATGCAGCCCTACTTTAAACTATTAAAAATGTTTTTAAAAGTCACTTATTCTAGCTTTTCAAGGTTAAAACATAAAATATAATTTCAATAATTATTTAAATAAAAAAAGTGTTGACTATATTATGTTCAATTTTATGTGCAATATTATACACAACATAAATCAAAGGGAAGCCTATAAACCTGTGATCCTTAACTAGTGATGCAAAATATTCAGAATAGACTCTTTCTTTTGGGAATCTGTAACTGTTTACTGTTTTTCATTAATCTCAGATATTTTGTAGACTTTTAATGTTCATGAACATCTACATTACACACCCATCGGGTGTTAAGATCCAAAAAAAGAGAGACAAAGAAAAAAAGGACTATGGGGTACTTTTAAACATTAGCTTGCAAAAAGTCATTGCTAGCATCTGATCCCTGCGAATTTACAAACACTAGCTCTCGATTGCATAATATTTGATGGTAGGGGGTTGCGCTTTGTTATGTCACGATACAAATGACTGAATTTCCCTTTGGGGATCAATAAAGTTTCTATTTATCTGAGTTTGCTGGAGAGCGCTTTAATTTCCTGTGTGTGCGTCTTTGTGCCAAATTCCCCCTGCAGAAAGAGGAAAAGGCTATGATGGCTAAGATGCAGCGCGCCAGAGCCAACTCTTCAGAGGGTCTGATGCCTCGGTGGGTTCCTGACAGATCTTTCTCCAGGACTAAAGACTCCAAAGTCTTCAGGCAGATGGTGAGCTCTGATCCACCCCCTGCACTTTTTCATGAGTGGAGCAACAAGTCATAATTGAAGCCATTTTCTCCGGAGCTTGGCAGTGGCTATGTGTGAATTGCTTTTTCCCCTTTCCAGGCAATGACTTTTCTGATTATTTTCAGTGTTGCAAAACAAGAAGCATGGACAGTAATAGCGTGACAAATAAATATTGTGTCAGGGAGTTTTAATAAAGGGAAAAAAGATGTGTACACTTGATTAACAAAGATTTTTTCTAATAAATATGTTTAAATTAAATGTTTTTTACACAATTTAGCGTGTTGGAAAGGTTATGTAAATACATCTTTAAATGAAAATTTGTAAGATTTAGGTTGGAAAAAATAAGACAACTTGTTTAGTATACAGCGTAGGCCAAAAGCAAAACAACAGAAAACCTGACAGATCTGAAAATTTTGAATTTTTTCGCCTCTAAAGCCGGGGTCACTAATCTCGGTCCTGGAGGGCCGGTGTCCCTGCAGGGTTTAGCTCCAACTTGCCTCAACACACCTGCCTGGATGTTTTAAGTATACCAAGTAAGACCTTGATTAGCTTGTTTATGTGTGTTTGATTAGGGTTGGAGCAAAAATCTGCAGGACACCGGCCCTCCAGAAACAAGTTTGGTGAACACTGCTCTAAAGCATGATATAAATATAGAATGTTTTTGAAACATGCAGATTTGTGGTCTGATTACAAAAAAAAACAGAAGAAGTGAGACCATTTTAGGCACTTTTAACTAGGGTTGCACAATATTTCATTTCAGCATTGATATCACAATTTATACAACAGTTAGCCATAATATATTTAAGTAAAATCAGCATCCGTACAGCCTCTTTACCCTTTGTGTATTACTCCGCCCACATACAGCCAGCAACAAGCAGACACTACAGTCTGACAAATATTACTGCTGTTTAGTTGAGAATGTAGTTGTTTAGATTGCAAATAATAGTTTATTTGCAAGAATAGTGCCAATTTATAATATGTACAATTTCTGAGAGACAGATCGTTGGCGACAGTTGATGTTTTTTATCCACAAGATGGCGACAGAACTGCATAATAAGCCCTTAGAAGATATAACAGTCTGATTTCGAACTATAGCTGGTCAAATCAATATTAAACTGGTAAGCACACCTCTCAACACTTCAGGGAGTATCCTGTATTTCAGACCAGTCTCCCGCAAACATCCCATTTTTATTTCCTTTTAAAAAAAACTTTGAAAAAGCACTGATGGGACACTAAGGCACTCAGCCTACGGCCTTGAGCCAACGCATGCCTCCCACCAGTGCTGATATAGCCATATCGCACTGCTACTCGTGCGATATTGCTCTTTTATGCATTCGCAATAGTCACATCGCAAAGATAAGCAATGTTGAATTGGGTTATATTTGAGCATAAGTCAGAGTTCAGAAGTCGAGATTTGAGGAATTATTGCAGAGTTTAACCTTATTGGAGTGAAATTGTATAATCTGCATGAGGATAAAGAATGAGCCTCTTCCATTCGGCCTCTTTACTTTCTCTTTACTTTTTATTTTTACTCTTTACTCCCTTTCTTTCGTGTATAAGGAGACGGTGTTGTACACACTCCACTCCACTCCACAGACATCCATTAGCCTACATATTACATTTGGTTTGTTAAGCGCAAAGATTTGTTTCAAAACTATATCTAAATTCTGTATTAATTTCCAGCAAACGAATAAATAAACAATAATAAAGAAGTGTGGTCAAAAAACAGTTATATCCAAACACATGTCCTATTCTTATGCCCCATATAGTGACGCAAACGTCTTCAGAACCCAACAGGTGGACAAATCTAAACTTATTTTTCTTAAAACGAATATAAATATGCATATAATAAATAATACTAATAATAATAACATTAAGCAAAATAATAATTTTTGTAACATTTTAATTCTTTAATTTTTTTCATATGTAAAGATATTTGTGCAGTGATGTACATCCTGTGTGTTTATAGATGCATAACAAATGAATTTGCTATTTAAACAATGTGGCGAAAAATGGGAAAAATACTGTTGCGCTGGTCTGAAAAAAAGCTACAAATTGCACCAAACACGTCTTTCGCCGAGTGTATGATATGGCTCAAAATATTGTTTTATTTGACTTCAAGTAAATTTATTAGATGCATGCACTGTAAAACAATATTTTTATTAGTATTTTTAGCAGCATTAAACTTGTTCCTAGTCTCCATCTCTGTCAAGTTTTCACTGTGTCACTCGGAATGTAATTTGAAGTGGCTGAGTGTTAATTAAAGCTACAGAGGCTCAGTGGGTTTGGCTTTATAGCTGTCTCAGATGAAACTCAACAATACGGTTTCCCACTTTCTCTGTGTTTTTTTTTTTTTACTGCCCACTATAACTAATCTACCTGTCTGTTTTCAGGGCATAGATGAAGCCTCCAGCAAAGATAAGTGAGTTCTGCTTTTATTACGACACAAATCCATTCTCTCTGGCTCTGCAGGGGCTTATGGGTTACATTTCACAGGCTGTTTTCACAATCTGTGAGTCACTCCAGGATAAAGCCAGCAGAAAATGAACATAGCAGATCAAGTTTCAGCAAAACAAATTTGATTTTAATAATTTTTTTTATCTACTAGATCAAAAAAGTAGCTTATTATGGTATGTATACAAATATTGAAAGCTCTATTTGTATGTGTGAATTTATCATTTTTTACCTCAGCCGCTGTGCCCAAGAGGCTCTGAATCCTGAGGACGAGGTCGACGAGTTTTTAGGTCGTGCCATCGACGCTCGCAGCATCGACCAGCTGCGAAAAGACCACGTCAAGAAGTTCCTACTCACATTCCAGACACCTTTACTGGAGAAAAAGGTCTGCAGACACATTGTAAAACACTGAAATATCCAAATAATATAATATTTTAAACTAAGTAGCTCTTTACACGACACTTTCAGCCAACAACGTAACAATTTTATGTATTTGTTTACTTGACAACAGTGTTTTTGTGACTAAAAACACGTAATCTAAAAAGTTACAAACTGTTGTTGTCATGTTTGTGCAAACACCAGGGATGATTGAAGGGGGCTCAGATTTTTCAGTAATGTCAGTGTAATATGCTTCAGTGAACCAAAAGTATGTATTAAATTTAGTTACATCTAATTAATTAATCAAACCTACTATGTTTTCAGTGTTTTGAGGGAAATTGATTGGTTCTCAATGGCATTTTTAATATTTAAAAAACTGTGAAAAGTTTGCATTTCTGCACCAATTAATGGATGACCATGATAGACTGCACATATTATTATTTTACTCTTTTAGCTTCTATGTGTGAGCAAGTGTGTAATAAAATACAAACTATGCAAATTATTCTGGGTGATTAAGCATTAATTAGGGGGTCAGACCAAAACCCCTCACAAAACCCCTCTGTAACTTGCGCTCTGGTAAACACTCAAAAACATGAGTTGATGAAAACAATAATGTAATGCACATGGATAGTAAAGTATGTGTCTAGGGAGGTGTAGGTTAAAGGTAAGCATGAACAAACAGTGGCGGAGTATCTTGTTGTTGCTTGAATGTTTGCTGAGGCTTCTTCAGCAAAGTGTGGATTTCACGCTTCACCATACAACCAAAAACAAAGACACAACTTACACACACTTACATACACTTCAGCTTCAAATGGATGGCGACACATCCTCACTTCCTTACAGGTATTCAGGGTTCAACACGTATCTTGAAAGTACCTAAATTTCAGACATATGAATTCAAGGCCTAGAAAGCACTTGAATTGAAAGTTTATGGTGTTATATTTCAACAATTGTATTGTGCTGATTTTCAAAAACTTAAGGAAAAAACTAAGATATTCTTCATTTAAAAGTATTATATTTAAATGTTATACAAGAACTATGACAAACAATGCATTTTATAAATATTTCAGAAACCGCATTTGAATATTAACAGTGTTCAATTCAACTAATTGTGTTAAAGTTCTTTGAACATGATTGTTTGTAACGGTCTACATTTTTGAAAATGACATATATCCGCGATTTGAAAATTATTAGTTAAATTATTACCTCGATTTGAAAATGAATCATATATGTCTTAATGTAGGTTTTGATATAGTTTTTAATAGACGCGACATATATAAAATTGGCTGTTTTTCTATATTATTTGTACATATATATGTGTGTGTGTGCATATATGCACATATGTTTACCTAAATGTTCACCTATATGTTTACCTATATATAAGTAAAATTATTAAAATCCATAACTGCTACAACATAAATAAAAGCCCAAAAATATAGAAAAATACAGTTTTTATTTACTTAAGAACAATCAAATATTACAAGAAAAAATATAGTACAAGAACAAAAATAAGACAAAAAAACTAGTAAATAAATAAATATTAACCTTGTAAATGTTTCAGGAAAATGTGTAGACATCATAGCTTTCCCTCTCCTCTCACTTATTTGACTTAGTTAAACTCCATAACATGCCAATTACTTGTGATATTAATTTCAAGTGTTTGCTCTTACATACATTTTTGCTGTTTTTTTTTTTTTTTTGTTAGTTCTTAGTTATTGTATTGATGATAGAAAATATGAACTAAGCATCATATGTATGACAGTGGCCAAAGGGAAATATGAGCTATATCGGAGACATATATTGTATGTGCATATAGGGCTTATATGTGGATATAAAGAAGCAATACAGAAGACCTACATGGCCTGTATATAAACAGCCTAGAGTACACATACTAATCAAAATATCATGTTTTTGTGCTTTTAGTATTCCAAAAAGGTGGATGATCGTTTTGGAGGTTATGTGGCCTGTACCCTCCTCGTCTTCTGCTTCATAGTTTTTATACAAATCGTCATATTTCCGCAGTGAGTTCCGCATCTTCATGTGTTTTATAATAAGGACTTTAACAATGCAGTTATTTCTGTGAAACACTTGCTAATATTATTTACCCTTTTTATTTTAGTCAGAATAAAATCCTTCTGACTGATGAATCTGAACATGATGTTTAACATTAATGCTAAATTAAGTCATTGGGTTGAAGCTTCACACATGGACACACTGTATTAAAGGAATAGTACACTTAAAAAAATGCCCTGTTAATTTACCCTCAGGTCATCTAAAATGTAAGTGACTTTTTGGTCAGACTTTATTTTGATGATCTCTTTGTTGAATTTAAGTTACATTTCAACTAATTATTAGATTATAAGTAGACTGTTAAGTTGGGGTTAGGTTTAGTGTAAGTTGACATGTACATGCAAAGTTTCTTATAGTCGATTAAATGTCTGTTGAAGGAGCAGTATCAACAAATATTAAGCAGACAGTCTACTAATACTCAAATGGGCCTCAAAATAAAGTTTTTTTTACAAGTAGAAGATTTTTAATTCATAAATTCATTAAATGGCAGTCAATGATTACCTGTTTTTTAGATTCAAAATAAACACATACAGACAAGTCCAAATCAATACCCGTGGCTCCTGGCGACACACACTGTCTTGTGAAGTGAAAATATCGGTCTGTGTAGGAAATTGATCATTATTTACAATATCATTAGGTTTAATCCAAAGCTTGGGCAAACAGTTTTTTTCGAGGTCACAGTCACTCGCAAGTTCGTTTGTCAAAATGGAGTCATGCCTAATTAATAGCAGTTGCCAGATCTTCACAGGTAAGAACCATTTTGGCAAAAACCTGCATCCTCACCCTCTCCCTTTGCCTAGGTACAATATATGTTAAAATATCCAAAAAACATTAAACATTTTTAAATATTTAGCTGACTTATGTATTTACAGTATCTTAAATATCTCAAAGAAGTTCAAATTCAGAGAAATAAGCAATTTTAACATGTGAGATCTCTTCACACACACTCAGTATCTGGTTTGATTTTACAGAAAACAGAGACACTCCAAAAACACTTTAATGTGTGTTGTGTTTTATTAGACTGCACAGACCAGTATTAGAACAGAACCCACTGGCTTTTAGTCTTACTCGGCTTTATACTACATTGAATATAAGGTTTAAATGAGTCTGAATATTAAATACTTGAGAAATCCATGAAAATGATTTCTGTAGGAGTCAAGTAAGTAGGATGTAATGAAGACAACAACTCCCATGATTCCACACTGTGTCCACAGCGTCCTCTAGTGGCAGAAATTACACATTGTCCCTTTAAAACTAATAATATTGTAAATAATGCTCAGTTTCTTGCACAGAGCGATCATTTCGCTTCATAAGACTCCAGTGTCATCAGGAGCCACAGTGATTGGTTTGGACTTGTCTGAATGTGTTTGTTTTTAATCTCTGAAATGGGTTACATTGACTTTCTTTATGCAAATCACAGAGGACCACAGATTCAGCTAAAAGTCAAATTTAGAAAAATAGCCATCTCCATCTTCAATGGCCTTCAAGGGTGAGTAATTTAACAGAAAATTGTCATTTTTTGTAAACTATTCCTTTAATATAGGGTTTACTGCTGTTTCAGGATACTAACATACTAGCAAATTCCCCTGCTTCTTGTCTTTGTGATATTTATCTGTTAATATTTAACATTTATAGCTTTTAGGAGACAAGGGGCGTATAAAATGCACTTCTTGAATTGATCTAGTGGTAAAAATGCCCTGTCTCACGAACAAAGCATGTCTATGGATGAAAGTGAGAAGCAACATTATCCTGCACGACTTCACAGACAGTGAAAGAAGCTAATTGTAATTTGTGATGCTCTTATGTTTTGTTGTTTAAAAAACACTTGTATAGTGCCTCAGTTAAATCATATTTCAGGAGTGATCCCTATGACTATGCCTGTTCAAATGAATAAACCGTTTAACTGTGGTTTAGAAGTTTAGGGAAGATAAAAGACCACGGATTAGGATTAATAAATTACCTAAAGATGGGGGGGTTAGCATTACCAAATGTAGAACTTTATAAAATAGCGTTTGAAACAACAAAACTTGCAAAGCATAGGGGGAAGAGGATTTGTATATAGATCTAGACTGGGTGTTGAGACATAGTGTTGGTTTCATACTGATTACTTTATCAAACAATATTTGTTTTTAACATGCATTTAAAAGAAGATACTTCAAGCTATTTATAGATATATGTCTCAATTCTGTGTGTTTTGTTTTTGCAGAGTTTCAGTGCATTTTAGTGACACATTTCTAAAAACAGTTCACGGAGAGAGAAAAGAAGCAATGCCTACATTGTTTAATTGTCTTATTTGGCAAAAGCAAACACTTTTGTTGTTATTGTGAGTGTACACACAAAAAAGTTTTAGGCCCAATTGAAATGTGCTCAATTATGGAGCGAGGACTAGTGGAGTTTCGATGAATTGCAGTTGCAGACACTTCCGTATAAACTTCATAAGGAGTAGTGGGAGGTTTAACTTTTCAGAATGGGATGTTTGGACTAATTAATGCTGGAAATGGGAACAAGGGATTGGCAGATACTTCCATGCTTTATGGCAGTGTACAAACATCCAACCCTCTTGGGAATCTGTGTTAAGACAATTAGGTAGATGCCTGGGATTTAATATTCCTCTCTCACCCAGGATATGTCTTTTAGGTGATAAAACTGAGGTTCCACATATTATGAATAATGAGTTCTCTCTTATATCTGTCGGTATAACGACAGCAGCACATATAATACTGAGGTTTTGAAAAGACATTCAATGCCCTACACGTAAATTATGGATGAAATTCATGATTGAGAATGTGTCTTTTGAATATATTTTAGCCGAAATGAATGGTGATCATAAGGAAGTGGATATAGATTTGCTTAAATTATGAATGTGTGTTCCCTGATGTGCTCTGTAGTAGGGTTGTAACAATTTACCGGTATGACGGTCTACCACGATTTGAACGTGCACGATTATCATACCATGAACAATTGCATATCAACGGTTTTAACCCTTAAAGACCGAGACAGCCGCCCGCGGCTAAAAATAAGTATTGCTCTTAAATGTTTAATAACTTTTGATCCGCTGATTCAGAGGCTCCGGAATCAGTGCGGTTACGTCCCTCCTCCATGCCCAGATTGGTTCAAACTCGCTATATCACAACCAATAAGCATAGGTTTCACTTTTGTTTGTGGACCAAGCTTTTTGAACATCACGGAATGAGAGAAAGGCATACATTTATGCGCGGCTAAATAAAACGCAAAAAAAAAAGTTTTGCATGAAATAATTCTCATACTAAGTACTTTTGCATGCACAGCAGCACAGAAACATGACAAAACAGTGACACAGCAAAGACGAACTGCTGCTCTTGCTGTTTTCAAAAGACACAAATGAAGATGCAGCTGTTTGTCTGCATTGCAGACAACCACATCCAAATCCACAGACAACCATATCCATGCTGGCACATAAAACCTAAGGATGTTCCATATTGAATCTAGTTTCGTTATGTAACTATTTATAGTATAGTAAATATTTATATCTATTTTTTACTGAGGATTTGCACCATGTTTATTTGGACTTTATTTGGACTTTGACACATTATTTATTATTTTCTTATTTTTTATTTGTTCATTGTAAGTGGTGTTGTTTATAGTAACTAAAAAATATATTATTTGGAAAAAGTCAAATTTGCTTCACTGTTCTATTATTTTGTAACATTTGTAACATACCGTATACCGCGAAACCGTCAAACCGTGGTATTGTTTTAGACGATTATCATACCGTAAAAAATTCATACCGTTACAACCCTACTCTGTAGGATTATCTTTATGCATTTTTATTGTTTTCCTTATGATTTATTCTAAATTTGATAACAATTTTCTAAATTGTGAAGAATTTTGTATGCATTTTGTATTTTTGTTTTGGTACTGTATGTTATATTAAGAAGAAACCAATAAAACTTGAAGAGATGCAGAAACTTCTAAATGCTGCATGACATTTTCATTTAAAATAAGCATTTTTCTCTGGCTGTTGTGTGTAGTTTCAGTAATTTTACACTTAGTGCAAAGAATATGATATTTGCATTTCCTTTAAAGTAAAATAACCAAACATAAACCCAGGAGGCTGACAAAAACTTCGGACAGCACTCAAAGGTTTTTGCATCTGAACCCTTCACTTGTTATTTACATCACCATTAGACATGCACAAAACATTTCTGTTTCTATTTTTTAATCAGATGTCATATTGATTTGATTACAAAGGTTTTAAACCACAGTGTACAATGCAAACAGCATTTTAATTGCATTTGGCTTAATTTGACTTATCATTCAGCTTATTCTTATTCTGAATTTCAGAATTCAGCAGTGTTTCTCAGAAATAAATTACTGTATCTTCATTGTCGAGATGTACTGTATATTTGCAGTGTGTTTGAATGATGTTGTTGGTTTTGTCTTGCAGTACACCATTAATGCTGGGCTTGTTCATCACCATCTTTATTATTCTCGCCCATGTGCTCTTTATATGTGCCATTTACTCCTGCGTTAAGGTCAGTCGCCTGATTATTCACATTTGTGCGTGTGTAATCTTTGCTAAATTACAGATTTGTGATTAATGGGCTTTGTAAGTTTTCTTTAATTATTATTATAAGCCCCATTCACATCAAGGTTGTTGATGATAGAGATGTATTTATACAATTAGTACAGAGTCTACTGCATAACTACAGATTATAGTAAATATAACAAGTATAGTTATACAGACGAACAGTATTGTTGGAGTCATTCAACTGAAAGATTAAACATTGACAGGCTTTTAATGGTTATTTGAGGCAAATATACTTGGTGTTATAGTTGTCATTAATGTTAGTTCTTTGTGTGAACAGGCTTTACTTTTTAATGTTTATTCTCTTATTGACTTTCTGTTAACTTTGTCTTTTTAGCTCTTCCCAGTTACCTTGCAGACAGTGTCAAAAAGGATTGTTCAGTCTCGTATTAACAGCACGCTGGTCGGAGTCTTCACAATTCTGCTTCTCTTCATCTCTGCCTTCGTTAATATGGTAGGATGTGATCTGAAGCTGCTGCTGTGTGAAATGAAATCTTTTGTCTTTTTTATTTCCTATTTGTCAGTGTAATTTAATACTAGTATTAGCACTCACTTCCTCATCAACTCTCATTCAAGAGGCCTTTTTTTAACTATGGATTCAGCTCAATTTCATATGAGTTTCAGGTTTTGCAGATTTAGAATAAGAGTTATATTAAATCAATTTTAATATGCTTTTTATTTTTTATACCTGGATAATTCTGTGATATTATATATATTATATATGAATATATTATAATACATTCATATTTTTTTAAATATTATGTTTGTGTGTGTTTTGAATCATGGGTTAAAATATTAACATTGTTACTGTTATAAAAGTATTTGTAAGTCAATTAATTAATTTTTAGTAGTAATGAAATGCAAAGTTTTTAATTGTTTAAAGTTATTATTCACATGTAAAACATATCTGGGAATAAAACATATTTGTAGGATTATTTAAAAAAATTAAATGCATAATTGACAAAAATGTAAAATAATCAAATTTGCCATAATTGATTTTTCCTGATTCATGATTGAAAAGTCCTGATATGTTTTACTAAAACTGATATAAAATACTATTTGTATCTGTATGACAGAGATAGTTTATTACACACTTTTGCAATTGTGTTTAGACCTTCTAATTTCGGTGTGTTTTCAGTTTACCTGTGACCGGACCGATATGCTAGCATGTGTGGCCGGACATCTGAATATCTCTGAATCCGTCACACTGTGCCTGCTGTATAACCTGAGCGGACTGGCAGAGGATCCTTTCTTCCTGTGTCTCGATCAGCCTTCAGCCTGTCCTTTACCCGAGGTCAGTGTCTGTATACATATAGTACAATATATAATACACTGTGCATATATGCTCACACTTCTTCCTACTCTATTCAGATACTGTTTTACTACTAATTTGAATTGAGAAAAATCTTAATAGTATATTATGTTGTAATAGTATATAATACTTTTATAATACTGATCTGGTTTCCCCCACTGTCCAAAGACATGCTGTAAACTGTAGGTGAATTGGGCTAACTAAATTGCCCGTAATGTGTGGGTGTGTGTGAATGAGTGTGTATGGATGTTTCCCAATACTGGGTTGCAGCTGGAAGGGCATCCACTGTGTAAAACATATGCTAGGTAAGTTGGCGGTTCATTCCGCTGTGGCGACCCCTGATTAATAAAGGGACTAAGCCAATAGAAAATGAATGAATAATGTCATATTAGTCATTTTTGACCACTGTTAATAACATCACATATTATTTACTACAACCTCTGGACTCTGGAAAGTTGAATCATTGTCCGACTTTCTGAGATTAGGTGTGGATCGAAAACTTTACCATCATGATATTTACTTGTATTACAGCAAACTGTGATCGTGTATTAGTACAATTTGGTGTTTGCGTTTGCTGATAGAGAAGCCAACACATGACGTCAGACTTAACAAGTGGATAGGTCACATGAAAAATCCACTCCTTCCAGAAGTTTCTGTTGAACAGAAAAGATGATGTTATAAAACATATTGATAACCTGAAGCCATTGACATCCATAGTAAGGGGAAAAAATATTTTGGAAGTCAATAGCTACCGGTTTTCTTCAAAATATCTTCTTTTGTGTTCAATAGAGAGATTAAACTCATAAAGGTTGGAAACCAGTTGAGTGTGAGTAAATGATGAGTAAATTTTCATTTTTGGGTGAACTAACCCTTTAAAGCAGATGTGCCCAAAGTAGGGCCCTCTTTGATTTGGCCCTCTATTCCATCTGAATAGAGAGGGAGAATGATAGGGAATTGTTTGGGATGAATGCTTTTGTCAGAGATGGTCATTTCAAACTTAACGTAACCTTTTGTTTTTTGTTTTATTGAGGAGCTACAAAAAAGCCAACTAGAATTATATATTGTAAATGAATTAGACATTTAAAATGTAAATACTGTCACTTGATAGAGGGAAATGCACAAGACATCGGCAAGCAAATCAAGGCACAGACAGGAGCAGCTGCTCAACTAGTGTATTCAGCATTGATCTCCATTGTGTTATAATTTGGATTGTTTATGTTTTTACTATAATAAGTTCATTATGAAACGTTAAAAATGATACTGCATTATTAATTAATATGTTTTAAAGCAACATTTTAAAATTGTTTTAAATGTTAACAAATAAATTAGGAAATTATCCATGGCAAATTTAATGTAATGCAGTTTGTAATATTCAACTTCGGCCCACAGCCCTCAGTCAAAATTGGTTTTTGGCCCTGTATAAGAAAAAGTTTGGGCACCCCTTCTTTAAAGTAACACATTTTTAATAGACTCATTCTACTAGTCCTCCGAGTTAAACAGTTAAGTTTGACCTTTTTGAATCCATTCAAATCTCTGGGTCTGGCGGGAGCCCTTTTAGCTTAGCTTAGCATCAATTATTGATTCGGATTAGACCATTAGCATCTCACTCAAAAATTTAAGATAATTTTACTATTTAAATCTTGACTTATCTGTAGTTACATTGTGCATCAAGACAGATGAGAAGTTGCAGTTTTCAAGGGTGATACAGCTAGGAACTACTCTCATTCCAGCGTAAAAATCAAGGAACTTTGTTGCCATTCTGCATGGTTAAAGCAGGTGCAATGATATTAAGCAGCACTGTTACCTAGTTACCTACCTGGGAACTATTTTCAGTCATTGTGTAATATCATTTGCACCTGCTGCAGCCATTGTGCAAATTTTTCAAGCCAGATGCTAATGGTCTAATTCGATTGCATTTTTTATGCTAAGCTAAGCTAAAAGTGCACCGGCTAGACCTAATGATGGATTAAATGGATAAAAAAAAATGTAAAGCTCAACTTATTAACTTAAGCAGACTAATAAGCGGGAGGGTTTATTTTATGAAAAACCCATTTATTTAGAAGCATTTGTGATGTAAATGCTGGCATGATGGCATGTTGTGTGATGGTGTTGGTGTGTTCTAGTATTTCACATACAGTGTGCTGCTGACTCTGCTGTGCTGCTCCGTGTTCCTGCACATCAGCAGTATAGGCAAGCTGGTGCTCATGCTCTTCATCCAGATCTGCTTCCTGCTGCTAATCGAGTGGCCTCTAGTCAGTCTGCTGGACAACGCTGACCTGCTGGACACCGTCGATGCACTGTGAGTCTATTTACAGCCAAATATATAGAGCTACGTTCAAAAGCTGAGGCTGCTGACTTGACCAAAGATTACTTTTTTATGCATCCTTTAGTAACTGCGGTCAAACTATTACCGCTTTTTCACTATTGGGCCAAATGGTTCTGTTTGCTTAACCATTCCCTTCCCTGTGATTTATGCTGATCTGGTTCACACAGCAAGGTTATGTTTTTGTGGTATTTTTTTACAGTGGTGCTGATAACGGAACTGGAATCTAAATGCAAATGCATCATTAGTTAATGCAAGTGAATGTAAAGACCAATGTGATTGATGGTCAGAATTGACTGGTTTTGGTCTTTTGGATGGGTCATCTTTATAGAAATCATGCAGTTATGCTTGGTGTAAATGTGCCTTTTTGGCTGGATAGTGAAAAAGCTGCTTTGATAATATTGTAACTGTTGTTTTTAGGGCTGCAAAGTTGTAAAAAATTGACATTGCAATATTTCATTTTTCTGCGATATATATTGCGATATGATTTCACCAGATGACCCTGTTTTAGAAAGAATTTTATAATAATTTTTTTCTTTTCTTTTTCTTTTTTTTTATTGTAATAATTTGTAGGGGAGTATATCTGCATAAAATAAACAAAATAAAATAAAGCACAGATAAAAACAACAGAACTTGCATAAAAAACGACATAAACCACGCTTTATGATTTTCAGTTGGAGTTATAGAAATTCAATATGTAAAAAAGAACACTGCATAATATTTACTGTATTAAATAATTTATCACTATTAATCTTTGTTAAAGCGGTAAACTGTATAATTTCTTGTGGGTTTCAATTCACTTAGGCGCATGCTTTAAAGAAACACATTCAAATAAAAGACTTTCTTATTGTTAGATTGGAGTTAAACTTTGCAATGACTATACAAAACACAATCTGAACTGTGGTTTCTGGTGGATTATAATCATAACTCAACATTGCAGATCCTGCGATGTGACTATTGCAGATTCACACATTGCAATATCAATGCTAAAACGATATATTGTGCAGCCGTAGTTGTTTTAATGATGTGCTAGTAGATATTATCGACAGTGTCACTTGCTCTGCAAAAAACAAACCAAAAATCTTTTAGAAGTCTAAAAGTATTCAATTCATGCTCACTTGTATAATGTTTTCACAATAACTAGCCTTCCAAAGCAGCTTTACAAAATTTGCTGACAAATGTTAAGGTGATGTGTAAGAACTGCATGATAAAGCCAATTCGAATGCCATTTCATGGCAATTTGAGTTCTGAAAGCAGAAATATCCAAAAATATAAAAAAAAAAAAATTATATTTACAATGTATGCAAGTGTTGTGTAAGCAAAGTGTTGTGTAAGCACTGCATGATTAAGTCTATTTGAATGTCATTAAGTTATGAAAGCAAAAATATCCACAAAAAAAATCTAAATTCACACAAACAAGGATGTCATTTTTTCCCAAATATTACCTTGATCACAAATGCGATTTATTTTATGCAATAGTCATGCAACAAACAATTTATTAAATGAGATGCATTACAGACTCAATATTTTATAGATTGAAACATCCCCATACATTTAAAAAATCTCCTTAAATATTTGTAGTATTATTCATATTTTTAGTTTACAGTAACATTAATGGGCGGCACAGTGGCTCAGTGGTTAGCACGGTTGCCTCACAGCAAGAAGTTCGCGGTCAGCATTTCTGTGTGGAGATTGCATGTTCTCTCCGTGTTCGCTTGGGTTTCCTCCGAGTGCTCTGATTTCCCCCACAGTCCAAAGACATACGCTATATGTGAATTGGATGAACTAAATTGGCCATACTGTGAGTGAATGTGAGATTGTATGGGTGTTTCCCAGAACTTGGTTGCGGCTGGAAGGGTATTCGCTTAGTAAAACATATGCTAAAGTAGTTGGTGTTTCAATTTTGGGTGTTCATTCCGACTCATGATAATGAGGGACTAAGCCGAAGGAAAATGAATGATTGAATGAGTAACATTAAGAGAAAAGGTGAAAAAGTTTCACCCATTACTACGGCAAAATGACTCAAATTCTAGTAAATGAGTATGCAATCATGTATATAGATACAAATGAAATGCAAATGGCTTGTGTAAAAGAACTTGTGCTTTTGTAGTTAAGTTTTGTCACATTGTGGCTTATTCTTAGTGGGTTATGCTGGTCACTAATGATAATATGTCTGTTTGTACACAGGTACGCTTTCAACGAAACAAATTATTGGTGAGTCCATGTCTTGCTTTTTAGTTCCATGTTTGTTACAGTGATATTCCAAAGACAAAAGGTGTTTGAATCTATAATAGAAATACATTTAAGCACAGAATAGTTTCCAGTTTTTCCATGCAGTCTTTTCTTGCAGTTCAGTAGTCCATCCAAAATGAATATTACATCAATATTTACTCACCTTTAAGTGGTTTCAAACCTTTATGAGATTATTATTTTTTATTATTAATAGGGTTGGCTGATGTTGACCAATTTGGCATCGTTCGATGTCTAATGTGAAACATCGCGATGGATAATGCCATCGTCGTCGTAGGCGGGGGGTGGTGGTGGTTGTTAAATATCAATTAATTCATAACAAATTAATTAATTGTAGTTTACTGTTTTCACTACCTGACCCACATGGTCTTTGCTTTATCCAGAACTAAATTATAAATATATGAAGTTACACACAAATGACCACCTGTCAATCACTTTCTTTTCCACGCCGTGATGTGTCGTTATAATGGCTTTTCCCACAGCTGGTGGAGGAGACGAGAGTTTGGTTGGAGTTCACTGTAGTGCATACATTTTCATTGGTTCCACTACAAAATCCTCACTGCTTGCGCGGAGACATTTATGCAGAATGCATCTTTGCACCTAAAAACGCCAATCGCAGAACAGATTAAAACACTTGTTATGTGAATTTGCTGAAGTAAAAAATACCGCAATGCTTGCTCCGCCTTTGTGCTCTTCTTATTGGCTCACTGCTCTAACTGCACGCGAATAATTGGTTAATATCAGCCTTCAATCACTCAGTCAATGCCTTCAGATGACAGGAGCTACAACCATGAAAATGTGAAGCGCTGAAGATAAGAGAATGAAAATAACACTGACAGATTTACCTACAGTTACTAATAACGGCACATCTTATTAGTGATCGTGTGCTGAATGTAAATCCACCATTTACACTTTTTTAAGAGTGGATAAAAGACCTCCAGAGGCTTCAAGTCCGCTATGAAATTGACTAAAGCCATTTACTGTAAAGTCTGTGGGACGGGGTTTGCAGGTTACAGCGTTTGCCTCTGAATCTACACATTTTAAGCGTGAGAGGTGCTGTATAATCCTTCATTTTTTCCTCATGATGCTGTCAGCCGTGCAGGCGGCAGCTATATGTAACATTTAACACAGTTCATGAAAATACCGTTATAGCTATTAAGATGACATGCAAATAATAAGTTATATATCAATATCAATATAAATGTGGGGCGGGGCGATGGATCGCGATGCCGGCTCAGCATCGTGAAGTTTATCAGCCGTCGGAGATGGACGATGGCATCGTCTATTAGCACAACCCTAATTACTAAAGGAGCACAATGTTTTGTTTTGTTTTTTTAAACAGGTAAAGATATCCATATTAGAAAAATATCATGGAAGTCAGAATTTACAGTTACAGGCTACAGTTGTCCAACATTTTTCAAAATATCATCTTTTGTGTTCAACAGAAGAAAGAAACTTAATCAGGTTTAAAACAAGTGTAGGGTGAGTGAATATTGATATTGTAATGTATTGATATTGAGAAATATATTGAAAATATTTAAATGATTGAAACATTGAACTACTGTACCACTTTAAGAAATCTACGAAAACCTGCAAATAAACAATGACTAAACAAGCACCCTTGTCATGTTCTCTGCCAAACACTAGTATCTGTGTGCTGTTCTTTTTTTCCTCACAGTCAGGAAACGGTGACTAAAGTGTCTCTGAGGGTGTCGATTCCTGTCATCCTCACTGTATTTGTCCTGGCTCTCTATCTGCATGCACAGCAGGTCGAATCCACCGCACGCCTCGACTTCCTCTGGAAACTTCAGGTGTGTTTCTGCTCATCTCGCTCTGATATTGTTCAGTCAGCCATCCAGCTGTTGAATCCTGAGTGTAATATGGTCATATGATAACAATAATGTAACAATAATGGAGAATTTAATATGTCCTGCTGAATTCAATCATATTACCCATTTTCATTCTATAAAGAACATACAAAAAGTTCATTTGCAAAAAGACTTCACTCCATTTTTAACCCTTCTGTTGAATCATGGGTTTAATGACCATTTTAACAGCAGAAGAAAAAAATATATCTGTTTTTCATTTTCATATTTTCATGAAGCCTGTACATATTTGGGGGAGAACAGTTATCTTAACCAGTTTTACACCACAAAAACTACAGGCACAAACATGCACACTCCAACAAATAAACTTTTTTTTGCAAATACTTTTGTAATTTAACCCTCCTGTGGTCCTCCTTTGGACATTTTAAAAGCAGAAAAAAAAAGATTTTTCTTTTACTTGAATCTTGATGGAATTTTCTAAAATTAACCCTACAAAATAAAAAAATACCATTTTTATGTTAATATTTTATTGTACACCCACTTTTAGGGTAGAATGGTTGTCTTAGGGGATACAACTATTTTTACAACACATGCACACTTCAACACACACACAATAAAAATCTGCTCTTTTAACTTTAAAAGTAAAGGTACCTTTAGCTTTAGAAAATATAAACCATTACTTTAGTCAAAAACTTTGCTGTTTTGTTTTATTAAAATAGTTTGGCTGGCCATTTGTGACTCATAGGACAAACAGAATACAGTTGTCCCTTGTTAATCGCTGGAGTTACTTTCTAAAAATAACCCTCAATAGGTGAAATCCGAGAAGTTGTCCGATTTATTTTTTACAATTATTATACAGTTGTCAGAATTATTAGCCCTCCTTGGATATTCTTTCCCCAATTTCTGTTAAACGCAGAGAAAATTTATTTTAATACATTTCTAAACATAATAGTTTTAATAACTCATTTCTAATAACTGATTTATTTTATTTTTGCCATGATGACAGGACATAATATTTGATTAGATATTTTTCAAGACACTTCTATACGGCTTAAAGTGACATTTAAAGGCTTTACTAGGTTAGTTAGGTTAACTAGGCAGGTTAGGGTAATTATGCAAGTTATTGTGTAATGATGGTTTGTTCTGTAGACTATCGAAAAAATATATAGCTTAAAGGAGCTAATAATTTTTACCTTTAAATGTTTTTTTTATTTATTAAAAACTGCTTTTATCCTAATTGAAATAAAACAAATAAGACTTTCTCCAGAAGAAAAAATATTATCAGACATAATGTGAAAATTTCTTTGCTCTGTTAAACATCATTTGAGAAAATATTTAATAAAGAAAAAATAATAATTCAAAGGGGGGCTAATAATTCTGATTTCAACTGTAGATGTTTTAAGTCTGTAAAACCCCTCACTACACACTTCATAAACATTTCTCAGACAGGCATTAACATTTTTAATGCAGTCACTGATCCAGAAAGCTAAAGCTGACTCCATCTTGGTTGAAACTTATTGCTGCTGTCGTCCTTATGTTATTTCCCTTTTTCTTTAAGTAACGAACTGAAGATTAATTATTCCGCAATGGTGCCCTACAGCCATGTAACTCCTACCTTTAGCATGTCCAGAAGTCCCAAGTTTTGTGCGATGTTTAGCATTTTCCTGTTTTTTGGGTGCTACCGCAGGTGCCTTTAACAGTGCCGAATGTTTCGTCGACATTGTGGGGAGAAAACTTGCAAGCATAGAGTACAACACTTCAGAGTCACACTGATAGCTATCAAAGATTTATGTAAATTTGGCAAGCATTCTGTGTTGTACGGGAGACGCAGTATGGAGGAGATGGTCTACAGCCATTCAGAACGCACAACACAATGCGCTGTAAAAATAATCATGTCAAATTGCACACAAAGAAATCCGGAAAATTTCGAGGCCGCATCAGTTGAACAGTGTTATTGAGAGGGACCACTGACTGTATTCAGAATTATAAGACCACACATGCATTAAAAGAAATTTAAGTACATAAACACTGTGTGATTTCATGTATATTTGCATTGATAGTCAACCGTGGAATAAAAAAGTAAATACAACACTATGAAATGGACAAAAACAAATGAGATGCAAACACAACAAACATGTCTGTCAAAAAACATAATAAACAGAACAAAAAAAGCATCAGAGTATGAATTTAAAAAAGCAAGCTGTAAAGAAATATTACAAATCTGCTGTGTTTCTTCACCAGGCCACTGAAGAAAAAGAGGAGATGGAAGAGCTGCAGGCCTACAACCGTCGTCTTCTTCACAACATCCTGCCCAAAGATGTGGCTGCTCACTTCCTCGCCAGAGAGCGCCGAAACGATGAGCTTTACTATCAATCCTGCGAATGTGTGGCTGTTATGTTTGCGTCCATCAGCAACTTCTCTGAGTTTTACACTGAGCTCGAAGCCAACAATGAGGGTGTTGAATGCCTGAGACTGCTAAATGAGATCATCGCTGACTTCGATGAGGTGAGATTTGCTGCTAGCATGTGAAAGTGTGAGTTTGATTTGACCGTACACTTGAACTTTATAGCTTTATCAGGGTTGCCAGGGTTTCGCAAGCAAAACAAGCCCAATGGCCAATCAAAACTATCCCATTAACATTAAAACTCAAAATATGCAACATCATGTAGGGTTTCTTTTTTTTTTAAATTAATTATATATTTGTAATTATAAAGATTTTGGTATCATAAAAATAATCTTACCTTAAGATTGATAGCAAGTTAGCATTGGGTCCCATGTGACTGCCATGTGAAATCCAGTTAAAGGTTTAGTTTTTAGGATTGACACTTAGTGATTGAACTAGGTATTGCAGTCCAAATTCAAAATATTGGAGATGTTTTCACCTGGGCTGCGTCCAAAATTGCCTACTACTCAATAGGTACTGCATTTGAGTTTATTTGTACTACATAGCTGTTAGAAGAGTATGCTCTAAACACTATGAATGTGAGTAGTATGAATGGAATTTGGATGTACTACATCCGCCATTTTGTCAGTTGTGTCACTTCCCTCCCATTCATGAATTCTCTGGAGGTGCAACATGGCATAGCGTTGCATTCATCTGATTCGCTCTTAAGAATCTTGTCAGAAGTAGTAGGTCATCCAGGTACTTCTCACATACTGTTTTTTGAATTCTATGAATTCAGACATACTACTCGGCTTGCATACTGTTTTTAGCTTACTATATAGTATGGAAGTATGCGATTTCGGACGCAGCTCTGGTCCTTCTGACAATGTCTGGACTCCACGCAAGTGGCCATATTGATGACACAAACACAAACAAGACTGATAATGGAACCTTACAACATGAACTGCTTAGTTAATGTTTAGGTGTGTAATCTTTGTATTATTTGTCAATTAAAAACCCCCTTTTGTTTATTTTTACTCTAAATTTGCGTCTTATGTCAGAGGGTGCTACTGTCCTCTAGAGGTCTCAATTTTCCTGTTAATTTCATGCTGCACAATTCTATTTGTATGTGTTGTTGTACTTCTAACTTTCACTAATCCACAAATGAGACAAACATTGTAATACAGGTTTTTAAATTTATCAATAAATGTCTTAAAAATGTAATTAAAAGTTTTGGATATCACTTGATGCTGAAATCCTGCAGAAACAATGCTTATTTGAAAAACAGTATGGAAGTACCCAGATTAAAATCTACCTCCTAAATCTACATCCTCTGAGATTCTAAAATGTGCAGCTGATGCAAACTTTACCCATCCGCTTCTTGTTAAGTCATGACGTATGGAATACTGTTTCCGCGTCCAAGCCACTTTGTGAAGTTTTACAAACTAATTTCGAGAGCAGTATGTGCTCTAATTGATCGCCACTGGTCTCTCATCTGCAATCTTTGGCATGCCAATCAGATTATTCCAAACTCACTTGCATTACTCGCTTATCTTTGTTTTTTTAAACTACATGATCTCTGACTCCCCTTCATGCTAATTGACCAGGCCGGAGCCCAGGGCTCAGTTGTCTCCAAGCTGAGGGTTCTGTTCCGGGACAGCATGCCAAACGTGCTATTATTATCAAGCAATATTTAAGTATGAACTCTTGAATCATTTAATTGAGAAAACATTTATTTATGACCACTTTTTAGTCATTTCGCGCATAAAGTTTTTTTTTTTTTTTTAAATCATGGTGTACACTACAGTCTCTGGACATGCTGCATCACAAACATCAATATTTTAACAATTTATAAAAACAAAAATGAATCACCTTCAGGCCATTGGATATTAAGTTTTGTTATATATATATATATATATATATACATACAGCAATCGTGATTTTTGAAAGTATTACAGCACTTTCTAAACATTTATTATTACTATTTGTTGAGTTTCCTTATACAGTTGTATATAGTGATTGGACCTGGAAGCCGCTTCGCATGATGTCATTTATATTTATTTAAGTCATGGTAACACTTTAAAATAATAATCCATTACTTAATGTTGGTTAATGTATTTACTAACATGAACAATTAGTAATACATATATTACATCTTTGTTAACATTAGCGTGATTTAAGTGAGTTCATGTTAACGCACGGTGCATTAACTTATGTTAATGAGCACAACTTTGGATATTAATAATGCATTAGTTAATGTTGAACCTTGATTAATAAATGCTTGACAAGATTATTCATACTTAGTTAATGGTAGTAAATACATTAACTAACATTAACTTATGGGCTATTATTCTAAAGTATTCTAAAGTCACTACCTTAAAAAAATTAATAAATAAAAAAGCTTTTAATTGTGCCTATATTTGTGTACAAGTAACTAGACCTTGCTTTTTTGTCCTTTAAGCAGGAGAGCAATGTTTTTTCACCACAGTGAAAATGTTGTTTTTGAAAGACATAAAGTTATGTTTTCTATTAGAAAGTTACCAAAGGAGTCATAAGGACTGGGAAAAAACAGCAAACGCTAAAATACATGCGGTCAGTTTGACCATTATGGCCATTCAGAATCAGAGGTAGAATTGTAACTCTTTTGTGTTTTGTAATTTTATTGAAATGACAATGTTAGTATGAAATATACACATTGGTTGTATTTTGACAAAGTTATTTAATTACAAAACTCACAAATGATCAAAATGACTGCCTCTGTAGTTCTAATGTTAAAAGCTGAACTTCCTGAAATCAATTATGTTTGCAAGATTTAGTAAAGAGAATATTGTCATGTTGCAGCTTCGTTTCTAAGTTGAAAAGTAAAACGGAAATGTTTTAGTAAAAATAGTTTAAAAAAATTATTTAAAATTTTAAAATTCAGCATCATGTTTAGGGGTATATGAAAATGTAAAACCGGTGTCCCAAAAAAGCAGACCAGCCTGCAAAACTCCTGGACGTGCTTTAAAGAGTTTCCAGTATGGTTTGCATCAGATGCTCTGTGAGTGTGTAGAAGATATTATTTATAAATGTTCCTCTGTTTGCTTTTGCCATCAATAGATCATCTCTGAAGAGAAATACAAGCAGCTAGAGAAGATCAAAACTATTGGTAGTACTTACATGGCCGCATCTGGATTGAACGATTCAACGTACGACAAAGAGGGCCGAACACACATTCTGGCTCTGGCTGACTATGCCATGAGGCTGCGAGAACAGATGAAGTACATCAATGAACACTCATTCAACAACTTTCAAATGAAAATAGGTAATTACGTCTCACACACACACACTGAGCTATGGAACTTAAAATTTAGCATAAACATTCTAATGGTAATTATAAATAGCTGAAGGTAAAATTATTCGATTTTTAATTCTTTTGAAAATGTTTTACAAGTGTTGTTGAACGGAGAGAACATATATTCAGTGCAATTTTAAACAAAATAGTTTTAACAGCTAGTTTCTGTTACCTAGTATATTTGATCTTTGCCATGATGACAGTACATAATATTTTACTAGATATTTTGCAAGATTCTAGTATTCAGCTTAAAGTGACATTTAAAGGTTTAAACTGGTTAATTAGACAAGTTTGGTTAATTAGGCTAGTAGAATAAAAGTAGTTTTTAATTTTTAAAAACCATTTGAAGCTCAAAATCATTAGTCCCTTTAAGTTATATATTTCTGATAGTCTACAGAACAAACCATCATTATACATTTTCTTGGCTAATTACACTAACCTGCCTAGTTAACACAATGAGCCTAATTAAGCCTTGAAATGTCACTTTAAGCGGTATAAAAGTGTCTTGAAAAATATCTAGTCAAATATTATTTACTGTCATCATGGCAAAGAAAAAATAAATCAGTCATTAGAGATGAGTTATTAAAACTGTTATGATTAGAAATGTGTTGAAAATCTGCTCTCCGTTAAACAGAAATTGGGGGAAAAAATAAACAGGGGAGCTAATAATTCAGAGAGGCTAAAAATTCTGACTTCAACAATATATATACAGTTGATGTCAGAATTATTAGCCCCTCTTTTTTCAAATTTCACAATATGTCTGAAAACATTTTTTTCTTCTGGAGAAAGTCTTATTTGTTTTACTTTGACTATAAACCATTTTAAGGTCAAAATTATTAGCCCCTTTAAGTTATATTTTTTTCAGTAGTCTACTGAACAAATATCGATACACAATAACTTGCCTTATTACTTAAACCTGCCTAGTTAACCTAATTAACCTAGTCAAGCCTTTAAATGTGACTTTTAAATATATATATATATATATATATATATATATATATATATATATATATATATATATATATATATATATATATATATATATATATATATACACATACACAATTTAAGTCAGAATTAATAGACCCATTTGAATCCCAAATGATGGGGCTCATAATATTGACCTTAAAAATGTTTTATCTGTTGGCGCAATAGCCTAGTGGTTTGCCTACAAATAGTGCAATAGCATGTCAGGGCGTCCTGTGTTCGAATCCCAGCTCGAGGACATTTTCCTACCCTACCTCCTTCTCTCTCTCCAACTTCCCTTCCTGTCTAAATACTGTCCTATCTAATAAAGGCAAAAAGGCCAAAAAACAAAATCTTTAAAAAAATAAAAAACGTATAAACTGCTTTTATTCCAGCTGAACTAAATAAGATTTACAAAAATATCTATATAATAGGAAATACTGTGAATATGTCCTTGATCTGGTAAACATCACTCGAAAACATTTGGAACAAAATAAAGATTTCATAGGGTGGACAATCATTTTTTAACTGTTTATTGAGAAAAAAAAAAAGTCTCTCGTTAAGTTCTCTGGATTTAGAATGTATTACTTTAATACTGTGTTACTATAAAACTTTTTTTTATTATTCTGTAAACTACTGAAAACATTTTGACCTGATTTACAATAACAATTTGCAAGTTTTTGTTGTTGCGTGAAGTAACAAAAAGGAGGCATGATTTCAAACATGTTTAAATACATTTTTACACAACTTAATACTAATGTTTAACTGCAGAAGAGTTTGAATATTGCATATTTTTGTTAAATTTAAAAAAAAAAAAAACTATTCCTATGTGATATTTGGAAGAAATGCACCTTTATATAATAAAACAAATACTAACACTTAAACCCAAACCCAGAGAATATCTCATAATTTTGATCATAGCCGCAGTATATATATAATATAAAGTATACTCAACAAAATGTTCAGGCAAAGACGATGTTTCGAAAGTCTTGCAGCAGGGTCTCAGAGGCTCAGAGCTGCTTTATGAGACCAGACAGTGACTGATCTACTTTGGCCACAGGTTTGAACATTGGGCCAGTGGTTGCTGGTGTGATTGGAGCCAGAAAGCCTCAGTATGACATATGGGGTAACACGGTGAATGTGGCCAGTCGCATGGACAGCACAGGTGTTCCTGATCGTATCCAGGTAAACACAACATAATAAACTCTTTGCTTATACAAGACTATTGTTGGCAAAACAGCCTGGAATCCCTCATTCATTTCTGTCATTGAAATAGAACACAAAATAGATCATGCTGCAGAACGTTGTGCTTTGGTTGTATTTATAAAGATACTGCTGCCATCTATCGTTGTGTTACTGTCATTGCAGTTCAGCAGTTTAATGTTGGACAGTGGTTAGTTCACCCAAAAATACTCACTATTCATTCTCCCTCTACCTTTATGAGTTTCTTTATTCTGTTAAGCACAAAAAAGATATTCTAAAGAAAGTTGAAAACCTGTAAATATTGACTTCCATAGTAGGAAAACAAATACAATAGAAGTCAATATTTGCAGGTTTTCATCGTTCTTTAAATGATCTTCTTTAGTGTTCAACAGAATAAAGAAACTCCTCATGAATTTGCAATCACTTCAGGGAGAGAAAACATTAATTTTCAGATTTTCAACATTTAAAGTGTACTGTTCTCTCTCCGTGTGTGTGTGTGTGTGTGTGTGTGTGTGTGTGTGTTTATATAATTTATAAACTATTTTATAAATTATTATCATTATAATTTATTTTTTATTTTATATTACAAATATTTAATTTATTACTGAATTTATTTATTTATTTATTTATTTATGTGTTTTGATTCAGTTTGCATGCTGTCCACATTGAATTAAGTTGATGTTAACAGATTTTTTTTAATATCATTCAATGCTGATAACTATGGAAGCCCGTTTCCGCCATGAAATAAAATTAAAAAATTTTGCAAGTCATAACAATGACTTACTTATTATAATGAGATACTTTCTCATTATCAGATACTTTCCTGTAATATTGACTTAACATCTCGTAATAATGACAGAGTTTCTTATAATAATGACTTATTTTCTTGTAATAATGACTTTTCTCATTATAATGGCTTACTGTGTTTGTGAGAAACACAAAAGTTAAAAAATAGACATATTTATTACAATTCCTATATGTAAAGTTGAAGTCAGAATTATTAGCCTCCCTGTTTATTTTTTTCCCCAATGTCTGTTTAACGGAGAGCAGATTTTTTCCAACACATTTATAAACATAATTGTTTTAATAACTCATTTCTAATAACTGATCCATTTTATCTTTGCCATGATGACAGTAAATATTTTTTTACTAGAAAAATTTCAAGACACTTCTATACAGCTTAAAGAGACATTTAAAGGGTTAATTGGGGTAATTTAGGTTAACTAGGCAGGTTAGTGTAATCAGGCAAGTTATTTTATAATGAAAGTTTGTTCTGAAGACTATCGAAAAAATATATAGCCTAAAGGGGCAATTCATTTTGTCCTTAAAATTATGTTTAAAAAGTGTAAAACTTTTATTTTTTTATTCTAAAAATCTTTTATTCTGGACGAAATAAAACTAAGAAGACTTTCTCCTGAAGAAAAAAATATTAACAGACATACTGTGACTATTTTCTTGCACTGTTAAACATCATTTGGGAAATATTTCTAAAAGAAGAAAAAAAAATCAAAGGGGGGCTAATAATTCTGACTTCAACTGTATATGTAATTTTGTAGTGTTTATTATAAAGGAGTTATCTAGGAATTTTATTTTTGATGCATGTCTATACAGTACCTCTAGTACTGCAATCATGCACTTCCTCTTTCACTTTATGGCAGGCTAGAAATAAATTTGGTGTACACTGTAAAAAAATATCTTTTAATTGACAGTTTTCCATTATTTTATTATTTTATTTGCACTTATTTATGCTTTTGAATTGCATTATGGGACCTTGATCTTACCTATAATAGCTTTTGATGTTGAATAGTTTGAGAATTGAGTTGTATTGACATTTTTAAGTGATATATTGTTTGGATTGTTGTAAATTACACTACCAAAACCTGGCAATACACTGCCAGTACATTTCTGTTATTTTACAAACTTATTCTCTCTGTATTATTTCTTAAACAACATCTTGTCTCAAATTACAGAGATAAAACTCCCATAATGCAATTCACAAGCATTAATAAACAGAAAACTAACGTGAATCACAAAATACATGTTAATTTACAGATATCTTTACAGTCAATGCATAATAAAAGTTTCTTCTTTACCCCTACAGGTGACCACAGATTTGTACCATGTCCTAGAAAGTAAGGGCTACCAGCTGGAATGTCGTGGACTGGTAAAAGTGAAGGGGAAAGGAGATATGACCACTTACTTCCTCAACAGTGGTCCTGTCTGCAGTTAACACTGACCAAATGCTTCTCCATGCACTGAAATGCAGAAAGGACGACTCAAGACTCTAAATGGCATTTGAGCAGAACCAAATATAGAACCACTCGCGAACAATGACGTGGTATTTATATATGCACCTATTGGGAATAATGAAGTACGCTCTATCTGGAAGACTGAATAAAGAACTGTTGCCTTAGAAGGAGAGGATTATGAAGAAAAAGCCGTTTTTTTATTATTATTATTTTGTGGAAAGACTTCTTCCATACCAAAATTTGAATTCTTTATTTATTTTAACAGGTTTTAAACTGTGTAAATAAAAAAAAGGTTATATATGCAAGCAACAAAAAGCAAGAAGAAGCTGACCAAAGAACAAAGTATATGAAATAGGAACTCTCTAACCAAGTGAAACTGTTTGAAATGTCTGAAGTGTTATTCATTTTTGTCACACTCTATTATAAACACTGAAGCAAAAAATACATCTGTCTTCATCGAAGGCCTTAGAAACAAGAACTTTAATTCCTTGTATTTCCAGTTTATGTGATTTATGAGCAATCAACGTTTTCCTTTTCAGTATTTATGTAAAAAAAAATGAAGGACAAGAATGGTACTGGACAATTTTACTTGGTCGTTGGTTTGTTTATACACTCACTGGCCACTTTATCGGGTACACCTGTCCTACTGTTCATTAACGCAAATTTCTAATGAGGCGATCACATTGCAGCAACTCATGCATTTAGGCATGTAGACATGGTCCAGATGATCTGCTGCAGTTTAAACCGAGCATCAGAATGGGGGAAGAAAGATGATTTATGTGACTTTGAACGTGGCATTTTTTTATTTTTTGGTGCTAGGCAGGCTGGTCTGAGTATTTCAGAAACTGCTAATCTACTGGGTTTTTCACGCACAACCATCTCTAGGGTTTACAGAGAATGATCCAAAAAAGAGGAAACACACAGGCTCACCAAAATTGGACCATAGAGATTGGAAATACGTTGCCTGGTCTGATAAGTCTCGATTTCTGCTGCGACTTTCGGATGGTAGGGTCAGAATTTGGCATCAACAACATGAAAGCATGGATCCATTCTGCCTCGTGTCAACGGTTCAGATTGCCGATGGTGGTGAAATGGTGTGGGGGATATTTTCTTTGGGCCCATTAGTACCAACTGAGCATCGTGTCAACGCCACAAACTGACCGTAGCTGACTGTATTCCTTTATGACTACAATGTACCCATTGTCTGATGGCTACTTTCAGCAGGATAACCAATCATGTCATAAAGCATAAATCATCTCAGACTGGTTTCTTGAACATGAGAATGAGTTCACTGTACTCAAATGGCCTCCACAGTCACCGGAGCTCAATCCAATAGAGCACCTTTAGGATGTGGTGGATTGGGAGATTCACATCATGGATGTGCAGCCGACAAATCTGCCACAACTGTGTGATGCCATCATGCCAATATCAACCAAAATCTCTGAGGGATATTTCTAGTACCTTGTTGAATCTATGCCAAGAAGGATTAAGGCAGTTCTGAACACAAAAGAGCTCCAACCTGGTACTAGTAAGGTGTACCTAATAATGTGGCCAGTGAGTGTATGTGTGGATGGTTTGTCTGAATGTGCGTCTTTCAATGGCAAAAAAAAGCTCACTGTGAGGTTTCTAGAATTATTATTTTTTTTGCCAGATTAAGTGCTAATTGGACTAAATTATTCTTACTTGTGTGTTCATTTGTTAACTGACGTCATTTCACTTTCATTCAAGTTTCTAAATGTGTTACACCAATCTAAGCTCTTAATTTGTTCCTTTAGACATAAATGAAGAAAATGAACCCAAATATGGCATAGCCTTCGTATAATTCCAGCAAAGTTTAGTCAGCAGTGGTTAAAGCTTTCTTAAAATCCTTGTAAATATGTGGTGATGTGCTGAGAGAGGCCTGTTGGGTTTAGCAGTTGCTGACAAAAGTGGCTGGACTGCAAAAAGTTGTTTGTTTGACAGTGTTCAGCATTTCAGCATTTCCTCATGAGCGCTTTAAATCATGTTTGCTTTTTTTTTTTTCAATTATGCAATTACCGGTCAAACGCATAGGTTAGCTCTGCAGCGGAGTGTTTTTGTACCATTCCCACTGTATAGATACAGATTTGATTTTACAATTGTGTTAAACAGAAGTATCCCTCCCCTTAATGTGCATTTTCAAATATGTTTAACATGTTCACCTTGTTACTGACATGAAAGCACATATGGTTTTTAATTCAAATGTTTGTGGTACATGGATCTTTCAGGACCTTTTCCACTAAAAAGGTGGAAAATCAATAAATTGGGTGTTTTATTAAAGCGTAATGTCTCAATAACTCGTCCGCCCAACATTAGATTGTGTAAACTGTCATTAGTTTTTTTTTTAAGGGCACCTATTTTACCCCTTTTACAAGATGTAAGATAAGCCTTTCGTGTCTCCAGAATCTGTCTGTAAAGTTTCAGCTCAAAATACTTATCAGATTATTTATTATAGCCTCCAGAATCTGCCCATTTTTGGTATCTGAGTACATTGTAGCTGTTTTTGTAGCCTGTGACTTTAAATGCAAATGAGCTGCTTTTCCTGCAATATATCAGATAAACAGCAGTCAGTGATTGAGACTAAAATACACCGAAATTAAAGCTAAAATACAGCTCATTAGTCATTATTTTATGTATTTGTGGTGGAGTTTATTCAAGCCTTTCTGAAACAATGAGTCACACACTAATGTTGTTTGTAGTACACACACACACACACACACACACACACACACACACACACACACACACACACACACACACACACACACACACACACACATATATATATATATATATATATATATATATATATATATATATATATATATATATATATATATGTATGTATATGTATATATGTATATGTATATATTTATACAACAGTTCTGTCTGGTTCTTGAATCTGATTAACTGATAGCTGTACGATATTTTGCCAGTAACATCACATAAAGGCCTCTTCACCCTTCACCTCTGTGTATTACTCCACCCACATACAGCAAGCAACAAGCAGAGATGCTACAGTTATTATAACAAATATTACTGTTGTTAGACAACAAAATGTACTTTTGAGGGGTTTCTTAGTTAAGAATGTAGTTGTTTAGATTGCAACTATGCACTTCATTTGAAAAAACAGTGCCCATTTTAAAATATTTACAATTTCTGAGAGCTCATCGGTGGCTAAAGGCGGTTGATGTTGTCTATCCACAAGATGGCGCAAGAACCGCATAATAAGCCCTTGCTCAGTGTGTTCTCTAAAAAGCTAAAAAACGGCAGCCTCATGGTTTTTAAGTTGGACCGGATCGAGTCAGTGAGAAGCTTGGAATAAGAAGCTGGATTCAGCCTTGTCCCTCCTTATCGCAAACACAACAGAAGTCTGGTGAGAAATCTCTGTGGACAGATGGCATTTCATGTCATGTTCAGCCTTATAATCTTAAAATGTGAGCAAAATTGGCTGTTTTGTCATCTCCTTTAGGGGGTCACACACCAGAAGCGCCGCTTCACATTACGCTATAGAGAATCATTCAAATACTAGCTCTTTAGGGGCGTTGGTGAATTAGTTACGGCTTCTGCTGTTCTGACGTCAGCGGCAGATGTGAATGAATGGCAGAAGAAAGTAGTTCCTAAAAAAAGGGTTTTAGACTCTTTGTGTTTGATTTTTGCCGTGGAACTGTTGTATAAACGCAATATCACACACGTAGCAGTGTGCTATGGCTGTATATCAACACACGCCTCCCACCAGTGCTGATAAACAGCCATAGCACACTGCTACGAGTGTGTTATTGCTCATATATATTTTAGCGTTTACTGACACCATGCGATTGTGGTATTTATAGCAGTTATGAATTACATAGCGATTTTACTGTCTTTATTATAAACATGCTCTGTTTTAAAAACATTTTAAACAATAAAAATCTGAGTTAGAACAGACTTTTTTATTATTTATATATTTTTTATTTATATAACATATATTATTTGCACAACAATGTTCTCTGGGCATGTGTATACATGTTATTATAAAAACATGGTGCCTCTCTATCAATTCGGGCGAGGAAAATTGCACTCCTACATTACACTGCATTGGGCCTTAAAATCACTGAGATTTGGGACCTATTATATATTGAGAAATTTTAAAAAAGAGACCTGTCGGGTTTCTATCACTCCAATATGACAGTGTACACACTATACAGTACATATAGACAATTCTCTCCAAACAACTTACAAAACTGATTTTCATCATAGGTGTTCTTTAAGTGACTAAAAGTCATTGTCCTAAAGTAGCATATAAAATATAATCTGGAAAAAAAATGTTTAACAATAATATTTTGTTAAGACATCAAATTGCATTTCCAAAAGTGGTTATATACAGAGAATAAATACAATTGGTGTCTTAATTGTTTCAAATAATTGTAAAAATAAATATGAAATAAAATTTTAAATAAATATATAAAAAATCTAAAAATTGATGAAACAAGGTCACTCTTGTTCAGCGTAAATAAAAATAAATGTAAAGATTACGAATCATTAAAAGCAACTTTACTGTCAATAAACCCACATGCCTTTAAATTAAGTAAATGAAAATGTGCATAATAGGTCACTTGTTCGAGCACCGACTGGTTCAGTTGGCATTTCTGTGTGTAGACATATGCTATGGGTGAATTGAATAAGATAAATTGGCCGTAGTGTATGCGTAAATGCATGAGTGTTTCCCAGTGTTGGGTTGCAGCTGAAAGGGCATTTGCTGTGTAAAACATGCTGGATAAGTTGGCAGTTCATAATAGGTTATAATAGGTTTACTGCCTTTTTTTAAGTCAACTTGTCACATTTGAAAATAATAGTTTAGATCTGTATTAATCCTTTTGAGGCAATTTATTCTGACGTATGTTATAATAAACATTTTTTATTCAGTTTTTTGTCAGTTGTTAGTTTTTTTCCCCAATTTCTGTTTAATGGAGAGAAGATTTTTCAACACATTTCTAAACATAGTTTTAATAACTCATTTCTAATAATTGATTATTTTATCTTTGCCATGACAGTAAATAATAATAGACTAGATATTTTTTCAAGACACTTCTATACAGCTTAAAGTTATATTTAAAGGCTTAACTAGGGTAAATAGGTTAACTAGGCAGGTTAGTGTAATTAGGCAAGTTATTATATATCGATGGTTTGTTCTGTAGACTATCAGAAAAAAATATAGCTTAAAGGGGCTAATAATTTTGACCTTAAAATGGTGTTTAAAAAATTACAAACTGCTTTTATTCTAGCCAAAATAAAACAAATAATACTTTCTCCAAAAGAAAAAAAAATATTCTAAGACATTCTGTGAAAATTTCCTTGTTCTGTTAAACATCATTTGGGAAATAGTTGAAAAGGAAAAACAAATTTAAAAGGGGCTAATAATTCCAATAGTGTCTGGATGCAGCCTTTATGATGCAAGCTGAGATTGCATCACTCAGCGATGCAATCTCAGACACAATGCACTCAATGGAGTGAGTGACGTCACTGTGATGGTTAGGGGTGGGGTTAGGTGAGTACAGTAAAAAGCAATGGATGCAGCTCAGATTGCACTGCACCAGGGGCCTCATGTACGAAGACTTGCGTGGAAATCTTACTAAAACATTGCGTACGCACAAAGCTGTAAATGTGCGTACGCAGAAAAAAATTCAGATGTATGAAACACTGCGTACGCCGAATCTCACGCATAT